TCGGGATCCCCCACAGGGACACCCGGATGCCTGCGGCTGCCTCCAAGGATGACGTGGCACCTGTCATGTGACTCAAGCCGCATGTACATAAATGTACCTGAAGTGGGAACCGAAGAAGTAACCTTCTTCTCACATTCTCCACTTCAGGTAAGTAGTATAGTTTTCCCCTTTAATAATAATAACACATTCTCCACTTCAGTCTGAGTGGCCAGGGACCACTGTCCCGGATCGGGCCCGCCAGTACGCACACCCGCTCCACACCCCGCGATGGCCTCAGTGCCAGATATTACCCCTGGGCCCTCTCGACCCCGGACGCGTCCCTGACATTCCCAAGGGAGGAATGAAGGGCCAAGGCCCAAGAAGGAAGGAAGGAGGATGGGAGTCGGGAATGGCTAGCTGACTGAATAGAAAGGAAGCAGCAGCCCAAATAGGAATGAGGGAGAATAGCGGAATTGAAATGGACAATGCAATAGTTGCAAGGTCCGGAGTAAGTCCGGAAAGTCCGAACTCGGAGGTTAAACTCCGGAATATTGGCAAAGGTAATTAAATGGAATGGGCTAACCAATACAATGGGTATAAGCGGAGGTGGGGTCAAAGTCCGAGGTCGGAGCTAAGACCGGAGGTTCTGGAGACAAGACGTGAATGGGATACCGGAGCGGAGGTCCGGAGTCGGGAGCATAGGTTTTGCGTACTCATCTGGAAGGTGTCGAGGTTGGGGTCGGACCTGGAATGTTCCGGAGTCTAACCGAAGGTGGTGTCCGAGCCGGAGGTGGGATAACCTCTTGGGAGTCGGCAAGGAGAAGGTGACGGAAGGGAAGTAGGGCTCCGGAAGTCGGAGTTCGGAGTTCCGGGAGCCCGGAGCGGAGGTCGGGATTGTATGGATATGACACTTTCCCATTTGAGCCATATCCTCGTGGGATGATTCTGATGCTATCTACAATGTTGTCAATTTGCTTGGTGGTTAGGCTTGCACCAATTAGAAACGGCACAAATCTCCTGAGTGGGTCTTTAATTGTTTGTTGGATCGCTTCTTTGATATTGTTCACAGCTTTGAGTCTTTTCCCCATTCCGATGATTGAGGCAGTAAATGTTGAAGGTCTGAATATGGTTTCGATCGCAATGAACCTGAAGGTTAGACATATCCAGAGGTGTTTGCGCACAAGAAGGTCGCGGTATTGGGGATTGAGACCATTGATTAGAAAACCCCATGGCTGGGCATACTGGATGATACCACCGTGTTTTATATCGATGGGGATTGGAGGAATGACACTTACTTCTCTGACTTGGTTGGGGAAGGCCCTTTCAAGGAAGTCTTCCATATTTGTTTGGAAGTCACTTGCATTCTCTTCGCTGTGAGCGGCATCTAGGGGCATGGCCAGAATGGCATTAGGTTTTTCCAGCCAGGCTAGGGCCCATTGGGGGTTGGCCCCTTCAAGGAGGCGGGAAGGGCAGAGGCCATGGGCATAGAAGTTTTCTAGGGAGGCCCCAAGAGGCATCCAGTCAAGGTCCCTTTTGCCGTCATTGGGCTTTTCGGCATTTATGGGTACATAGGCCGGGTCATCGGTGATGATTGGGGATAGGTCGCCATCCGTTACCAGGCTTTGGGTTGGGGGGTATTCTGTAGGATGGATGTTCTTTAGGGTGGTCAGATGGCCACTCAGGCCAGGGTTAAAGACCACCTTGGACAACCACTATGTGGGCCTTTATAGGGGGGACCTCAGGACGTTTGCATGGGGCCTAAAAGGCCTTTTTCACTATAAACATCCTAGGACATCCTGGCCATTCAGTTTCATTCATTTGTTGCAAACGTCCTCAGATGTCCTAATTCAGTTTGATTCAATGGTTGCAAATTGTCCCGGAATGCCATACTCGTCCATCCCATGGTCTGTGCGCATGCTGACCACTGTCTAGAGGGATGTCAACACTGTTTCCCACGGTCTGAACACACTTTACATAGTTGAATAGCTTCCAGAATATATATTTTGAGACTGAATTGACCAATAAATTATTGAGAAAAACGCAAAATACTTTTTTGGACACGAGTCTTTTGATGGTGGCTGTCCAACTTATTTAATGTCTGTGCACAATACTGGTCACTGTCTGAAGGAGTGTCAGCACTGTTTCCCACGGCCCCAACACACTTTACACAGATAGATAGCCCCTTTGAATAGCTTCCAGAATATATATTTTGAGACTGAATTGACCAATAAATTATCGAGAAAAACACAAAATACTTTTTGGACGCGAGTCTTTGGGTTAGTGTGGCTGTCCAACTCAATGTCTGTGCACAATGCTGGCCACTGTCTGAAGGGGTGTCAACACTGTTTCCCACGTCCCCAACACACTTTATGCAGATGGATAGCCCCTTTGAATAGCTTCCAGAATATATATTTTGAGACTGAATTGACCAATAAATCATCGAGAAAAACGCAAAATACTTTTTTGGACGCGAGTCTTTTGGGTTAGTGTGGCTGTCCACCTCATGTCTGTGCACAGTGCTGGTCATTGTCCGGAGGGGTGTCCAGACTGTTTCCCACGGTGTCAACACACTTTGCGTAGTTGGATAGCCCCTTCAAATAGCTTCCTAATTTGAGACTAAATTGACAAGCAAGTTATTGAGAAAAATGCAAAATACTTTTTTGGATGCGAGTCTTTGGGATAGTGCTTGGGCCACTAAATTTCACTGACAGTCATCGAAGTCATCGAAATTCCCGGGTCACTGATATCCCAAAGACTCGTGTCCAAAAAAGTATTTTGCATTTTTCTCAATAACTTGCTTGTCAATTTAGTCTCAAATTATATATTCTGGAAGCTATTTGAAGGGGCTATCCAACTACGCAAAGTGTGTTGACACCGTGGGAAACAGTCTGGACACCCCTCCGGACAATGACCAGCACTGTGCACAGACATGAGGTGGACAGCCACACTAACCCAAAAGACTCGCGTCCAAAAAAGTATTTTGCGTTTTTCTCGATGATTTATTGGTCAATTCAGTCTCAAAATATATATTCTGGAAGCTATTCAAAGGGGCTATCCATCTGCATAAAGTGTGTTGGGGACGTGGGAAACAGTGTTGACACCCCTTCAGACAGTGGCCAGCATTGTGCACAGACAGTTGAGCAGCCTGAGGATTGTCATGGGAAATCAGATTCAATTGCGGCATTATGTTTTGAATGTCTACCCTGAATAATACAAATTTGATTGAATCACAGAAGCATTTGATTGAATTTGATTGAATTATAGAATCATCCCAGGACATCCTAGGACATCCTAGGACGTCCTGGGGACGTCCTGGTGAATGGATCAGTCTTCACCAGGATGTCCAGGACATCCACTAGTAAATACCCCCTTTTAGGCCCATTTGAAGGCCAAACGGCCCCCCCTCTATAGGCCGTCATTAGGTGGCTGACTAGGCTGGCAAGGGGGGGCCTTCGAGGGGCCTTGCAGCTTTGCAGCTGTGGGGGACCTTGCATGTTTCCTAGACTCATTCTCGTTGATCAATAGCATTTTTCTGTCCCCTTTGGTGTGCAGTCATCCCTTTTTATGGAGGGGGCTTGGCTGGGGTATGTCGGAGTCGTTTGATTCCGTCTCATTCTCGCTCTCTTGTTCATCACTGGTGGACGTGAAGGTGAGGGGGGCTTTTGTCGTGTTATCAGTGTTGGTAATACAGCAAGCGACAGAAAAAACCGCACACCTAATTTGGATGAATGACCCAGGCGGGTCTCGTGATGATCCAAAATGGCAGTAAATCAGGGTGCCAATACAATCTTCATTTTGGCGCCCGTAACTGGAACCTAGCTTGTTTTGCATGTAACACTCGGCCACGGGTTTCAGGAAGGAGATCCTTAGCTGGTGGTTGCCCATTGTTACGGGGTGATTAGCACTCATTATTTTCCTACATTGTCAATCAGCTGTTTCCAATATATTCAGAATTATATTGAATAGTATTCATCCAAATTAGGTGTGCGGTTTTTTCTGTCGCTTGCTGTAAATGGGGCTCCTTTCATGGAGATGACAGGTGTTTTCCTTCTCAGGGGCTCAGTCATTTGGTCGTCTTCCGGTGTCAGCGGGGCTCGGAAGGGAGTGGGGGGCTGGGACACGGTTATCTGTTCGGACTGCGCCCTCGTCAGGGGGGTTCTTAAATCGTGTAGCGAGGTCTTTACCTCCATGACTCTGCAAGTCTTCTTGTGGGACACCAAGTCTACGGTTCGTAGGCTGTGTGGATGTTCTAAGGAACTGTCCTAGTTCTCGCGGAACTACCCGTTTTTAACCCGATTGCCTAGGCCGTGCTTGGCAACTGGGTGCTCTTGGTCGACAGTCCAGGGCTCAAGGTCAGCACGACGCCCGCCCTGGTACCGCCTGAGCTTTTTCCCCCCTGGTCGACATTGCCGGTCTGGGATGTGTATATATGTATTTTCTAGGTTTCCTTGTTGTTATTAATATTTTTTGTTTTCCATCTCACTTCACTGTCTTCTAGTTGTGTTGAGTTTATTGTACTTCGGTGTCATCCCTTGCTCACTAGTTTAACGACATTGCAATCATTTTGAATTTCCCTGAGCACCAGGCTCCCATTCAATATCGCAAGGCTACTTTAGTGAAGGGCATCGACAGGACAGACTACACAGGTTCACCAAGTTCAGCACTGAAGATTTTTTTAATAACCACCTCCGTTGCATCTGTTTCATGTCCCGGTGCGCCCACGCTGCTATCAGAACCGAGTCGCCCTCTACCACATCCTAGATGCAAGTCGAAATCGCTCCCGAGCTGCTGTCTGCTAAGCTCTAAAAAGGTCCTACAAACTTCTCTGTTATGGGAAGGAAGACTGGGCCAGAACCATCCAGGGTATGCCTTTCCGTGAGAACCTCTGACAGCGATCTGTTTCCCCATAACCTCATTGAAGGCCTGGATATAGTGGATGCACATTATGCAGGAAAGTTTAGAGACCCCGATGTAGGGTAGAACCTCCTGGAGTTCGCCCTTGAACATTGCCGTAATCATGGCTAGCTCAGCGTGGACCGTGGGTTTCCGGTGGTACGCCTCAGTTTATCGTGAAGCAACGCAATGGGTGATTCGCGCTCCTCATCCCACTCCGCAGTAGAGTATTTGGTTTGGTGCAGCGCAGCATCCAGAGCCACTCGTATGTTCTCTGAAGAAAGATTGCAACGATATGGAGTCGTGGTTGGGCATGGAAGGGGTTTAATTACGAAGGTCCCATCTAGAAATTTGCGGAGGCGGCGCGACTGGGTCAAGATAAAGAGCCTATCGGCCGAGATCACAAACGACATGATCTTCACCGCCCAACGTCGAAGCCAGAAACCTATGCCGTGGGCTAAAAAGATGTAGATTCAGGTGAGAGCGACCATCTAAGTGTCATATCACACACTGGCAGCCAGCCACGCATCCGCGCGATCAAGCAATGTAACCACATTGCTGGCAAGCCCTTCTTTGGGAAGAAGGCCATTCTTCGTCCAAATCGAATACATCCTTACAAGCCCGCATATAAAATTGCTAGAAAGTTGCTTCGTTGTTTGTGCATTGGCAACAACCTCAATAATGGTCCCCACATGCGATAAGAAATTCAACAACAGGGTACGCTGGCGCAGATCGAATTCACCCCCATCCTGCTCAATGTACTTCCAAATGTCGGAAAGCTTGTGCTTGCGCTTGTTAACGCGATACGCAAAAATGTCGAACGAGTAATTGTGAATGGTTCTGCAGATTTCAAATAAGCTCCCTTCTAACTCGCTCGAGATATCCTTCGGGGAGCTGTCTACTCCATGTGACCTGTAGGGGACACGGGAAAGCATATCAAAGATAGACTGTAGGTGAATGGGACAACTGCTAGCCGCGCCATCATTTTTGTGGTTGAAAGTGATGTATACTTGCGTTTCTAGAGCGTCTTTATTGGCCTTTACGCAGGCCATCGTAGCAGAGACGTTTCCTCGTTTGCAGAGTGAGATATCAGCGATTACATCGAGAATTCTCCGTAGGCACTGGGAGAGGGAGCCATCGACATCCTGAATGCTGGGGATGTCTGAACAAAGTGTTTCATTGGACAGTAGGCGCCGATTTGCGAGTCTGTAAGTCTTGGAGAGAAGTTCTGCATAATATTCTGGGTCCTCTGTGCCGACGAGAACGGGCTGGCTGATCCTGGGCATGGTATGATGAAAACCAGTAGCAAGGGGTGCTCAGGTGGGAGGTGAGATAGTGATTACGGATGGGAGCTTCAGAAAGGGTCAAACTTTCGAAATTTTAGATATGGGGGTCGGCATCCAACGTTGTGACTTTGTGACACTTAACATAAACAAAATTGGCCACCCTTGGCCACCCAACTCGCTGCAAAAGTGATGGAACTTAGGCACTTGGTGAGTACGTCTACATTCATCTCACCAGCCGGGCACCAGAACAACTGCACCTTTCCATTTTCGATGCAGGTGCGTATGAAGTGGTGGCGTATGTCTGTGTTTCGATCGGGCATGGAAATGGGGATTGGAGGCTAGCGCGATGGCTGATTGGTTATTGAGTTCAGCAGGGAAGGGTTGTATAAATTTAATAGATTCCTTAACCATAGCCTGTGTAGTATCCGAGCTTGCCATGTGCAGGACTACCGTCAGTTGCTTTTTGGACAACCAATCCCCAGCCCCGCCAAGATGTATCCTGATACCGATCTTCGGTCGATCGGGGACGGCCCCCAGCCGGCATCTGAGAAGCCTGATACGTATCCATTCAAATTGTCGTACATGATAGATCTTCTGTGCCGCAGAGATATCTGAAGATACTTTTCACAGCTTTCCAGTGGTTGTTGGAAAATTGTGAGCAGAATTGGCTTAGCGCCTGGACTGTGTAGGTGATGTCAGGTCTCATAGCCATTGACACGTGTAGGAGCGCCCCAATCGCCTCACGGTATAGGGTCGTGTGTTCGAAGAGGTCGCTAATGGCAGCCGAATCTCTCAAGAATCCTACGGATGTATGATCACAAGACTTCGACATATTTAGTATGTCGGTAGATGACTCCGCCTTATTCCGTACAAAAGGAGGAACACGAGGAAAAAGTGGGAGACCACTGACCAAGGAGTAGAACTGCGAATCATCGTAGGTGGCTCTTGCCTAATATAAACACAGTAGTCGGTGTTACTTAAGGCATCTGTATCCTAGGGACTTAAGGTATGTATCGAGAGTTCTGTTCCATGCACGCCCAGACTGTTTAATATAGAGCATGCAGGAGTCGGCACACTCATGGCGTCCCGTGTTAAACCCTTCGGTTGTTCCGTAGAGGGTTCGTCTAATTTCCCATACAGATAAGCGTCCAGGACACTCACTTCCAGGTTGCATATAGCAGCGATGGCTATGAGGAGTCTAGGCGCCTCACAGGGACGAACGTCTGATCGAAGTCTTGCCCTGGGATTTGAGTAACCCTTGGCAACGAGACAGGCTTTATGCCGGACGGGGTTGCCATCAGCGTCAAATTTCATGGAGTACACCCATCTGCACCCCACTGGTTTTCTTCCCAACGGTAAGCCCACCAGCTTCCATTTTCCATGTTCCTCAGTTGATTCATTCCTTGGTCCATCGCCTCCTTCCATGCCGCCCACTCCGGTGATCTCTGTGCCTCGGTCAGGGTCTGAGGCATCCCCAGTGTTGCTGACTGGCATGTAAGTAGTGCGAGCGCGAACGGTGCGATCTCCTGTCGCGCTCCCGGCTCAAGCTCTTCTGTGCCTGAGGGTGTGTTTGTCGGCCTTTCCGCTGGTTTTCGCACGGTTGGATTGTTCAGGAGCTTATAGTCGAGATCCTCTCTAGGTCATAGGACTGAGCGTCGGCCTGTTGGATACGGGTTAGTGGGCTTTTTGCTGGCTTCTCTGGTGTTCCTCAGGCAAGTGATTGGTTTTGTTCTCTATCCCTCCCCCCCTAATCACAGGCTGGTTTTTCCCCTTCATCATCACCGCCATCCCTCTCCTCCTGCCCAAATAATTCTAAGATCCCTTCTACATCCACATTTCCCTTTTCATTACCCTGTCCATCCAAAAACCTATAGTTCGCTATCGCACGCAGTTGGGTCATAGTGTCTGATTGCTCTTAGACCATCTTCGAAACCGACGAAAGTTCCTTTGATTGCTTTGGGGTCAAGTTCGATTTGGAGCGTGTTCCGTCTAGTACATATACGTCGCATCCAAATTGGCAGAGGCGGGATGTGTCTGGCTTCCTGTTGAACATGGCTTTGTATGGCATTTTTCCAGTTGTCATTGCACGATTCCTGATGTAGGCTGCGTCGTTCTGCAGTCATCTTAATACTCGCAAGCCTGTGTCGCTCCACCCCTGTCTCTGTATTTTACCGGTTCTCTTCAAAATTTGAAGTCTCGGCGGTTGTCGGGGCTATCGCTGTCATGATTCGAGACCCTTTCAATCGAAACTACATAATCATTTGCAATTTCGCTGAGCACAACTTTACACATACAGACGAAGGGCATCGACAGGACGACCGAGTTCAAGAGAGAATATTGCTCTAATATCATCCTCCGTTGCAACTGTTTCAAATCCCGGAACGCCATATCCCATGCTGCTATTGGAACCTCTACGGGATTCTACATGCAAGTTGAAATCGCTCCAGAGCTGCTGTCTGTTAAGTTGTAAAAGGGCTCTACGAACTTCCCTGTCGTGGGAAGGAAGACTGGGCCAGGACCACCCAGGGTAAGCCTTTCGATGAGAACCTTTGACAGCGATCCGTTTTCCCGTAACCTCATTGAGGGCCTGGATATAGTGGATGCACATCATGCAGGAAAGTTTAGAGACCCCGATGTAGGGTAAAACTTCCTGGAGTTCGCCCTTGAACAATGCTGTAATCATGACTAGCTCAGCGTGGACCGTGGGTTTCCGGCACGCCTCCGAATCCTCCAGTTTATCCCGAAGCAACACAGTGAACGATTCGCGCTCCTCATCCCACTCCGCAGTAGAGTATTTGGTTTGGTGCAGCGCGGCATCCAGAGCCACTCGTATGTTCTCTGAAGAAAGATTGCAACGATACGGAGTCGTGGCTGGGCATGGAAGGGGTTTAATTACGAAGGTCCCATCTAGAAATTTGCGGAGGCGGCGCGACTGGGTCAAGGTAAAGAGCCTGTCGGCCGAGATCACAAACGACATGATCTTCACCGCCCAACGTCGAAGCCGGAAACCTATGCCGTGGGCTAAAAAGATGTAGATTCAGGTGAGAGCGACCATCCAAGTGTCATATCACGCACTGTCAGCCAGCCATGCATCCACGTGGTCAAGCAATGTAACCGCATTGTCAGCAAGCCCTTCTTTGGGAAGAAGGCTATTCTTCTTCCAGAACGAATACGTCTTTACAAGCCCGCATATAAAATTGCTAGAAAGTTGCTTCGTTGTTTGTGCATTGGCAACAACCTTAATGATGAACCCCACATGCGATAAGAACCCCAACAACTTGGAACGCTGGCGCGAATTGAATTGATGCTCATCCTGTTCAATGTACCTCCGAATGTCGGAAAGCTTGTGCTTGCGCTTGTTAACGCGATACGCAAAAATGTCGAACGAGTAATTGTGAATGGTTCTGCAGATTTCAAATAAGCTCCCTTCTAACTCGCTCGAGATATCCTTCGGGGAGCTGTCTACTCCATGTGACCGGTAGGGGACACGGGAAAGTATATCAAAGATAGACTGTAGGTGAACAAGACAATTTCTAGCCGCGCCATCATCTTTGTGGTTGAAAGTGATGTATATTTGCGTTTCTAGAGCGTCTTTATTGGCCTTTATGCAGGCCATCGTAGCGGAGACGTTTCCTCGTTTACAGAGTGAGATATCGGCGACTACATCGAGAAGTGTCCGTATGCGCTGGGAGAGAGGGTCATCGACATCCTGAATGCCGGGGATGCCTGAACAAAGTGTTTCATTGGACAGTAGGCGCCAATTTGGGGGTCGGTGAGTCTTGGAGAGAAGCTCTGCGTAATATTCTGGGTCCTCTGTGTCGACGAGAATGGGCTGATCGATCCTGAACATGGTATGATGAAAACCAGTGGAAAGGGGTGGGGTGGGAGCGTCAAACTTTTGAAGTTTTTGGTACTTGTATCTCGGAATTTAAGACTATCCGGACCCAAACCTGAGCCCGACACCTATTACTCATCACCTGATCGCAGTAAGAAGGCCATAGAAACCCCCTGTTATATAGGCCTCTTAGATAGGGAAACCGCGTTCCAGTGCATGCACCGGTGCACCGGTGCACCAGTACTTACATGCAAAAGCTTTTACGGAGGGGCCCGAAGGGCCCGAGAAGCTCTGGGGTGCCCGTGACCAATTCTTTCAATTACAATACAATCCACAGCGTCAAATGTATTGCCGGCGTCGTCTTCCGATCCGTCGTCATCGCCGCTGTCGTTGTCAACAACATCTTCACAAGTTTCGCATATTTTCTTTGTTCATCCTCCTACCTACATTTACTTATGTCTCCCCGCTGGCAACATAATTTATTATATTAACCTTGGCATCAGTGCCAGTCGAGTTGTTATTGTTCAAAATGACAACAGTGTGCAAGGTACAAAGCGGTTAGAAAAAGCGACCGACTGCACAAGTGGGCAGTAAAGGGGGCATGATGAGAAGTGATGGGTGAATGATGGAGAGAGAGGTGCAAGCACACTAGCAAAAAGGGAAGACATTAATAGTGGCGTACAATCAGCTTCACAACAGCGAACAAAGAGGGTTTGAAAGAAGTATTTATGTGCAAAGTTGAAAGCATGGGAGATGTAGTGATTGAGAATGAAAGAGCAGAACAGTTCTGGCTACACCACCTTATCGCTATATGGCCCAGCCACATTAAGCGCCGTCGGTCACCCCTGAAATTCCAACACCTTCACTAGCAGGATAACATAGGCAAGTGACAAAACCATACATATGTTATGGCCAACCATCTTGGCCGATTACAAACCCAGGTGAGAGGTTAGTAGACCCTGGGGAATATTCATGACAGACGGTGTTGAATTAATCGCGCGCATGTGTATGAATTGAATTTAATAATACACTCTATACCGCTCTGTACATCACTCAGTATGTTTATACCCTGTCTGATCTACCCTCTGTGGCGTGTTTGTGTGTCCCAAAGCTGGTGTTTGGATCAAATTTACAGGCTTTCAGCTTAACCATTCCGTTGTTAGAAGCTCAACAATAACTGATGGCGCTTAATATGGCTTGGACATAAGGTGGTGTGGCCTGGATTATCCTTTTTTGCTTTTATATCCCCTGCCCAATTTCCATTCCTCTGGCGCTTTAGGGCTCATGGGACACGGTCTTCCATTCACCCAACACCTCCCTCTTGTCAAACTGCCAAGGGCGCTCCGCGCAAGACCCTCAGGCTGATTCTCAAGACAAAGAAGCACAGGGATTGGATAACTGGCATGATGAGAGTGGAGACGTCAATGGTGATAACCAGGACTATCGCTACGTTATTGGAGGGACTGTGAATGTGTTGGAGAGTATAGGATTGGAATCAGTGTAATAATTACCATATCAATGGCGATAGGGTTGATACATGGCATTAGCAAGAGTAACAATGCAAGCAAGAAAAGAACAAAGAGGAAAATATGCGAAACTTGTGAAGATGTTGTCGACAACGGCAGCGGCGATGACGACGGATCGGAAGACGACGCCGGCAATACATTTGACGCTGTGGATTGTATTGTAATTGAAAGAATTGGTCACGGGCACCCCAGAGCTTCTCGGGCCCTTCGGGCCCCTCCGTAAAAGCTTTTGCATGTAAGTACTGGTGCACCAGTGCACCGGTGCATGCACTGGAACGCGGTTTCCCTATCTAAGAGGCCTATATAACAGGGGGGTTTCTATGGCCTTCTTACTGCGATCAGGTGATGAGTAATAGGTGGAGCCCGAAACGGATGAACGGACTCATTCGGTCCGTGCCATGGTGGGACACCTTCAAGTCAGGAATTCGTGGGAATTTTCACTTTCCCACCCTCCAATTCATTCTTCACTTATTCATTCTTGTTCACACGTGCTGGCAGGATCGTATCACATGTCCGCGGCGGAGTTTCAGGAAACGACACTTAACCTATAAGAAACAAGTACAACCACATCCCCCGGAGGGTAACGCCCCCGACCACACACAAACTAAACCTACTCAGCAAAAGTTACGGGCGGGTCCACCAAAAAAAGAGGGGATAGCTTTACTGCTAGCTGACACGATTCCGAATGTTGTACATGTTGTATCTTCGTTCGATTTCGGACTTGGCCATGATCGTAGCCCTCATATTTCCAGAAAGTTGACAAAGCGGGCCTCTCCTCAGCGTTGGGGCCCCGCTGGTGTAGGGGAATCATCAGAGCGATCCTGTTGTGAACCATCAGAAGAACTCCCAGCGCCAGCCTGTGCTCTGAGAAGCCTCCCCTCTAGATTATCACCTCTGATGTGATACAGAGTTGCTTCTAGGTGGCATGTTCTCATCTTGATCCATATGTATGAAGGGAGATGCTAGGACAAACCTTCGTGGAGGTACGTGGGTGCTCGCTGAAAAGGGTTCTCTGGTGATGACCTGACGCTCTCGCCAGCACTTCCAGATGACGTGAACGCGTTTATGTCAATCGCACTGTCTACCGCTTCCACAAGTTGGAGAAACTGTAATGAAGATGCCTCTGAGAAGCAATCATCATCCCCAAAAACTCGTGTAACTCCATAACCCCGCCTCTTGCATTCAAAAACTTGCCACTCGAATCCAGCCGCGGCGAGACCATAGAATACGTCAGTCGTTGTATTGCGCTCTGCTGCGTCCTGCATGTATTCCTCGAGCTGTTTGACAGCTTTTGCCGTGTCGGTAGTCTTCGCTTTGATTTCAACAATAAAGAAAATAAGGGGTGGTTCGGACTCATTACGGCGAGTAGTAACCGTGAAATCTGGGTAGAGGGATAACGCGAACCGTAGCGCCTAAGTGCACATTGTGGGATGACTCTTTTCCCATATAGCCGCGGAAAGATAGCGTCCAAGATACCTCCGTAGCAACCATAGAGATGATATTCATGATTTATTTCCTGTCCCAGAAGATACTTCCCTAAATCATGGGATTCGTATTCCAACACGATAAGTTCTGGCGCAACACATCGGAAGCACACAATTTGAAGGTTGCTGGGGTCCTTGCTTCGTGGGTGTTGTGTGTATCAGGCTCCCGAATAGGCAATGGAGTCCCCGGCGCCGGAGCAGTGCTGATATGAGATACGGGAGAAAGAGACTTATCCACACTGTCCCTGAGTCTGACAAAGCTCTCCGCACTGGCCTCAGCCAAACAATCTTCATACTCATTCAGCAACATTCCTCTGGTAGCGCCAGTGCGATGCTGCCAAAGTTCCCATTTCCAACCCCAAGCTGTGATGCCAAAGATAACATCCAGTCGTGGATACCCCACATCTCCCTCTGATCTTCGAAAATAGTGTTGCAATTGCTCCCTTGCTTCTGCCTGCGACAATGTGCTTGTATTCTTGACCTCCACGATCACGCACAACATAGAGGGGCGCTGATCGGTTCCCTTGAATAAACGCAAAAGTCTGGAGCCAAGTCGTCAACTCCAGGTTGGCTAACATGCTTGTACCCAAGGCTGCGATGGAAAGTTGCGTCCAGCAATCCGTTCCACAATCCGTAGAAGGTACTCTCGTTATCTGTATGCTTCTTGACTTCTCCACTCGTGGTGTCACGGATATCGCAGAGTTCGCCTCTTTCGTACTGTATGACTCCCTTTAGTCTCCTTTCGATCCAGGGATCCATCCTGATTAGAGCACTCCAGCCTGAGCTTGGCGGGGGAAAATGTTCGTGGATCAGAGATCAGTGCAAGCTGACGTAAGTCCTCTGAGTCGTTGATATAAAGTACAATGTATGAGGATCCGTGCCAGGAAAATGAGTATCTTCATGAAGTTAAACTTGATCTATCTGACCCAATGGCGAGGGTTCACTAGACGTCACAACCATCGGGGGCATAAGAGGTGATAATAATCTTTACAGGTGAAAGTCCATTCTTGCGCAGCACGGGGCACGGAACCCCAGATATAGAGCAACGCCGGCACAGATGAGGGATGTAGATAATAGGTCCAGATTCTTCGATGACAGATTGCATGACCATTACACCGTACACGAAGTACTATCCTGGAAATCGCCAAGACCTGGCTTGTCGAATGCGTAAAAAATATGTAGAGCAAGGCATGACTATGGAACATCTATGGACTAACTGGTTCCGGTTCGCTACGCCAACTGGGGAGGTCATACGGAACAATAGAAAATCCGCGGAGTTCTTCCGGAAAAGAAGTCTCTGAAACCGTTAAACCCTCAAGCATCTGCCGGAGGAGTTTGACTTTAGTTGTGATACCACGAGCGGTCATTGATGATGCAAATAAGCTTAATTCCTCGCGAGTAACCGGGATGGTGACGGTAGTTACGAGCGAATGCAGTTTTGGAGGGATCTTGTTAAATGCATTGAGGGACACGGGCGAAAGAAGGGCAAAGAAACGAAGGTTTGGACAGAGATTGAAAATGATGTCAGGGAAGTCTTCATGAGGCGCACTCGAGCTTCGGAAATAGTCGGAACGTCCTGGAAACTGACACCGATGAAAGCTTACGACGAACGATTCCAGCGCCCAATGAATCCCAGAACCTTGCAATGCCTTGACTACCCCATCGGGTGTTACGCCCCTGTGGCCTTCGATGCGAACTGCACGAAGAGGGGATACCGTCTCCATGCCCACACCGTCACGAACAGTCGTATGAAACAGTTGAAGCAGCTGCGCATCGGTTATACTCCCACCAATCAGTTCGATGGACTGCAGTCTATCCAGGCGTAACGTAGAAATATTGAACTCAAACGGAAAGAGAGGGCCTGACCACGAACAAACTTGAAGGTGTTCGAGCTCTGAGGCTACTTGTTGAAGGGGAGGGCCGAGGCACGTTAAGTCTCCAGGGGCCCACGTCAAGGAACGTATGGGGACGACCGGAAAGGGGTTAAGGAGAGGGTCCACGTCCTCATATCTAAATATTTCGAAGGTGAAGCGATTGAACCCATACACTTCCAAGTTGCGCAGTCTCATGCAGGCGTTGAAGCATCGGCGAAGCCTTCGATGTTTCCTGGATAGCTCGCACCGGAACAAGGAAGAGCGTCCTTCAAGATGTATAACACGACTATCGAGGATAAGCGTATGCACAAAGGGGCCGTATTTTTGGAGTGTTAGGGAAAGAGGCGCCAAATACGCACGAACGCATCCGAACAGTACCAATCGACGATAAAGATGTTGAATATCAACAATCGTTCCGACGACGGAGTGGCGAGGACGGTGTTGATTGTTGGTGGCGGAAGTGAAGTTTTGGGGCACGTCTTTTGCACCCCATTTTTCTTCTTTATGCGACGGCTCGCCACTGGTGTAGTTCGCGTATAAGAAGGAGTTTTTGGACTCCTCTCCCAGATCTCTAACACGAGTCTGAGTGAGATAGATTTATTATTCTTACAAAAACTGTCTAACTGTTGCGCAGACACTTACGCGCCATAGTACATACAAATTACAGATCTCTAACACGAGTCTGAGACACTTACGCGCATAGCTTACATTTAAAAAAAGAGGACCAAAATAGCATGTCTCCATGCTCTTGAGACGAGGGAGAGCGCCGCGAAGGCGGTGCGTTGTTTGATGTAATTCTCAATGCTGTCTTTCCCGCCACCCACTGCTGGGACTGGCCGATACAGAGGAGTGGCAAAGTGGAGAATCATAGAAATGACCTCTACTGGTAGAGAGGCTATGGTGCAGGCCCCAATTTTATCGGAGGGGATATTCATAATACTTGTTCACAAGAAATGGTGAATAGGTGTTGGGATGGTGAAAATGGATCACTTACTTACTTGAGGTTGTCATTTGATCACCAACAATAGAGTTTCTGACGAATAGAAACCCAAGGACCTGTCGTAACTGGTCAACCGGCAGGATGCGTTCTGCCAGCAACGAGGATATTTGACGAATTCCGCGAAGCCAAGGGTTGTTTTGTTCTTGCCGCGTGACTCCGTTTTGGCTCTATGCTCGGAGTCAGCCGATGTAAGCGATAAGTGTCCCCAGAACCGTATAAAAGCTGAGACGTACTTTGTAGATAGTAGGAGCGGAGATCTCTGTATTTACACCCCTTTGTGTAGTATCGAGTTCGACCCTTGGTTCAGCGACTTTCTGATTGCCTGTAAGATTTCGTGAATCTCTCAACCACCGAACTCAATCGCGGGGCCCCACTTCCGGCTCGCTAGAAATGGGTTGCCCATTCTGGCTAGTTTATATTACTCGTGGAGCCGGGTATTACTCCTTGTGACGATGTGACCTCATTCGCCCAAAAAGACTGAGTGCTTCCCTCTTCTTGATCGTCGCTCGTCGCTTTTAATTTATGGTGGAAATACTGCTCGTCGATCTCAGCCATTGTCAGAAGTACCAGCTCGGATGGCCGAGCTTCCGATGTTGCCCATTTCCCACGGTAAAAAAAATCGAACCCCCTCTGGAAACAAAAGCCTCGCAAGCTCGGCCAATCAAGCAGTCATCGTCAGTCACTTGCCTGTCTGTAAGGCGGAACTTGGGACTGGTTGATCTAGCCCAGTACATCCAAACGATCACCGTCGACTTCCTCATTCCTCATTTACGACCCGACATCGCGCAAGGGTGTGAGAGTCGGAAACATTAATGTGATCGAACGAAACCGATGAGTGACAATTGAGATAACGGAACAGAGAGCAGCTGGGTCTTCGTAGTTGATTCAGTCCACTCACGAAGATGAACAAAATTAGGGATTGTGAAAGCGACGCACAGTGACATGTGAGAAGTTCCAAAGCCACTGCTCGATAATTGGACATTGCACACTAGGTGCACAAACCAATCTTGATGTTCGAGGAGAGGAATAGGACAAGAAGTGATCAAGGCGTTGGAGATGATCATCGAACAGGGGAAACTGACTACGCTCTTGAACACGGCCAACGAAGGGAGAGTCGTAGCAGCGTGCCTATGATGCATTAAATATAATCGTGTATCATTGATCGCGCGTTAACGATGCAAAACATAAAACATGAAGGTACGCGTAATGAGCGATGGTCGAGGGGCTCCAACACACGGCCACAAACCTGGTTTAGAGGTTAAGTGGAAAAAACTCGCTGAAGTTAGAGGAAGCCCTAGTATGATAGTATCTAGAGGAACACTTGTGTTCCAAACTAAAATTGGAATAATGTTCGAGTGAGGGAGGCAGTTAACACGGGGACCCGACTGCATCCCCGATTGGGTCGCTCGAAATTCACATGCTTCGGCGTTATATTATCGTCGCCACACGATGTGTTTGCATCGATAACCCTAGTCTACCGCCATCCGCTTCAACAATGCTCCGGAACCATGCCTTGATCAAGCCGAGCCCAAGTATTCCAGCATCCATCGTGGCATTTCCCGCACCCGCTGTCTGCAGTGGCAAAGCTTGCACATCCGTCGTCTGGCCAACGCCGTCCTAGGTGAGATATCCACCCGGGGCTGAAAGGATAGTTTCTAAACTTTCGGCTGCAAGGCAGACAATGGCTAATGCTGGCCGACCTCCAAAGTCGGACAGCCATTGGAGTAACAGAGGGCTGATATCACCGTTGTTTCTCAACCCGCGGACGAATTTTTTCACCCAAACCCAAACCCACCATTGACCGACGTGGATTCTTTACTCATTAACTCCACGATGGGGGCGATCGGCATCCCCGACGATATTGGTCGTTATCTCTACCGCATTAAATGGGCCATTTGTGGCGATCAAGAAGGCTCTCTCGTCGATTTCTTTCGGGCCACTTTCGAAATACTTGACTTCCTCGAACGGGGCACAGGGATGATCGCGCGCTTCACTATGCGCCTATCGGTCTGTAGAACCAGCTACTCTGTGCAAGCAGACATGTGTCTGCGCCAAGGAGACTCAAGAATGATCTTGCTTACTCTGCAAGGGGACAGACATGGCTCTAAGATGACACAACCTGAAACACAAGTCATCCCAGTAGCTATTGCCATGTTCCAGTATAATAACAAGAAACGGGTGAACACAGGGCTTGCTCCCCTTGATGCCATGACTGTTCCCTGTATCGCCATGGTCGCACTCGACCCACTTTCTATCTGGTTCCAGTTACTAAAGCACTCAGAGATGCGGTTGTGTCTGGCGAGTACCCCGAAACTCCAACCACAGTCTTGAAGTGTAACACAGTTTTGGGGCCCAATCGTCCAATCAGTAAAGGCATGGAGGACCAAGTAGGCGGCTCGCATTTCAGCGTTTGATCGCATTCAAAGATCTTTCCAGGGGACACTGGAAGAAATTCGTCGAGTGAGCCACATCGTGCGCGTGCGTTTATTTAATGCCGGATCGCCAAACTTTGACCAGAGGCTTTGGGTAATTCCAAATTTCCCAATTGTGATGTAGCATGTAGTTCAAGAGATGAGTTACGTATGTGCTCAATCCTAAATCATGTTGTGCAAAGGTACTTTTTGTCTGGGAATCCCTGCGTCAGAAACCTGACACCGTGTCCTAAACCACACCGTGTCCTTCTACCTCACCCAGGCCTAAATTAACCAGGAGCGTCCTCATGACTACAGGATTCATGTTTACAGCTTGCGATCTCCTGGCGGCTCAACGCTGCCATACAATCTCCGATCACTCCGCAGACTAGTTACGCGCTACATGGCCCCATTTTTCATCCAGCCTTTCTTCTCGCATTTCACGAATTTGGCTCATTTACCCATAGATCATATCCGCCACGGCTCCGCATAGACAATATGCTGAGGATGTAATAAAAATGGATTTATATCTCTATCACCATCATTATCGCTCTCGTCCACTTCCCTTGACAAGTAATATGTTGACGGTTCCATTCTTCAAGTCAAAACTTCACAAAATGATAACAGGTTGGAGATAAGGTGTGCGAGCGACGGCGGAAGTCACAAGTTTAAAATCGCAAGCTATGGCTCTGTGCTGAATGTGATTCGTGGGGGTTCATTGTGTGTGAGGATCAATTCTCGACAAGATGCACATCATTCCAAACGGGGTCGCTGGTAATACTTTGCTTACATATAGATCGTTTATCCGAAGGAGTCGAATCACTTCCGTGTTATGGGCACCGCTGGGATTGGTGTCGGAGCGGACCTCGCCCCAGCGCTTGGGGAATCGAATTGCATGACTGGGCAAGATATGTTTTGGGAAGAAAATGCGAGCACTATGAAGTGTCTATCCCAATAGAGGCTGGTAACTATGAAGTGGCGAAAATGGGCAAAACATTTCGACATCTGACGGGCGTCAAACGGTGGCTCCCAGGGGGGGTCCTAGTTTCCGACTGGCGGGATTTTTGTCGTGCCGGTGTACAGCAGTCGTATGTAAGGAGCGCAGTGTTTGCAAACGTTTTGGATCGCGTAGTGGCTGTGCCAGGCACCTTTGCTGAATTTCTGCTTCGCTTGGTAGCGGGGAAGTAGGGCAATTTCTCCCACCAGCACTATCGTTTCTTTCGTCGGACAATAATGGTGAGTGGACAGGGTGGCTTTGTCGCAGAGATTGCCGGGCTCACCATCTTCTCAGTCACTCCCTACTCCTGCTCAATGGGTATGTCTCTGTATCTTTAGCACCTCCTGCAGGGAACGAAGCATTCGATTCCTTTTATAGACTGAACATCGGAATGCCGAAGGACGGACTTACTGGTATCATGTGCGTCTTATGCTTGGCTGCTCATCGAAGCTAGTTCTTTACCAGGTCGCAACCAGAGTGCCACTAAGCAAAGCTCCTGGGAAAGGCCCGATGAGCTAAAGTCACCTTTCGAGGTGTGCTTTCCCTTCTGCCTTCACTGTCTTCTCTGAACATTTTTTAGCGCGCGCTGTCGAAAACCACTTGGAAAGAGTACTTCTCTCAAGGGCGCAAGTATTGGTACAACGTAAGTATTGCACTTCTCGCTCTTCTGCCGATCCCCTTAGCAAATCATAATTAGACGGAATCCAAGGAATCCAAATGGGACATGCCTAACGAACTTATGGAACTTATGGAGAAGGTGGAAAAGGAACAAGCTTCCAAACCACCTGTAACAAGTGCCAGCCCAGTTTCTACTGTTGCGCCAACGTGGGTATTCTGAATTTGGGTTTTGTACAGTTGAAACACATTTGGCTTTCAGGGCGAATCGTCCTCCCAGCTTCGTTCCCGGTAATCTCATTGGGCCGGCTTCCACCTTGCCAATCACAGGCAGCTTATCATCTGGCACCACTCTTCCTGCCCGTCCTCTCGTCAATGGTCTCCCCATTTCATCCAACTCCGTCCTCCCTGCAAAGCCCAGTGCGCCAGACGACCCTGTCATTCCTATCAATGGATTCCCGACAAAAGAAGAAGCTGAGAAAGCATTTTTTCACTTGCTGAAGAAGGCAGGTGTTGACGCCACGTCGACATGGGATCGCACAATGAGAGCAATCATCACAGACCCTCTGTACAAAGCCTTGCCGACGCTTGCTGAGAAGAAGGCGGCATGGGAGAAGGTGAGGCATGTGTAAATTCAACGTGATGGTTATGTGCCTCATGACTAGGGTGTAGTACGTGGCCGATCTGAAACAGAAAGAAAAAGATGAACGTGATGCGCGCCTCAACAAAGCCCGACCTGGCTTCAAAGCCCTGCTTTCTGGCAACCCGCAGATCCTTTATTACACCACTTTCAGGACTGCGGAAAGGCTATTTTCTCAACATCCTACATGGTTGTCCCTCAAGAGCGTTGATGAGCGAAGGCACTTATTTGACGAGCACACTGATGAACTCAAGAGTTTTGAGATGGTTTGTATCTTCTCACCGTTTGAAGCGGACACAATCGCTCACTGCTACATTTCTCAGACACGTGCACGGGAGACCAGAACGCGAGCCATGCAAAAGTTAGTTGCTGTGTTCAAAAGCCTTAAAGTGGACGTGCTTTCTCGATGGCGAGACACGCAAAGGGCTGTCTATGCATCTGACATGTGGAAGGAAGACATCGAGTTTAGGGAACTAGCTGACTTGGACGTTCTTCTCGCTTTCGAGGATTTTAGCCGAGTCTTGGAGAGAAACTACGACGATCATCATCGACGAACGGAGATGGAGAGGAATACTCTCGAAAGGAAGGCTCGCGAAGCATTCAGGGTACGTAACGCGTCAATCTTTGGTTGGGGGTGATTGACCAATGCCACACCCACTTAGGAGTTGCTGGGCGAACTCATATCATCGGGAAAGATCAGGGCCAAAACCAAATGGAAACAGGTTTACCCTCTGTTCCAGGATGATAAGCGATATCTCGATCTCCTCGGAAATCCTGGTTCAAACCCTCTTGAACTGTTTTGGGACACCGTAGATGCTTTGGACCAAGAGCTAGAAAGCCAAGCGGCGAAAGTTGAGAAAGTTCTCGAAGCCAACCAGCTCCAATTCACGATTGATATGACCAAAGAGCAATACTTGGGAGTCGTGCAAGCTGATGCCGCCTTGCCGAATTTCACTCGAGAGGATTTAGAGCGCGTTTTTGATCATGTGAGTTTCCCATTCTTTTGTGCGACTCGAACTAATTGACGAATTCGAACCTTTCAAGCTTCACGATCTTCGCGCCAAGGCACTTGCGGAGGAACGTCGCAAAGCGGAGCGCCGTCAACGTCATCTACAAGATGATCTACGATACGCCTTGAAGAAAATTTCTGCCATCGATATTAACGGGTCCTACGAGGATGTGAGCATATCATAGAAGTTTGGCTTGACATGGATCTGAAGATTAGTTGTTAGGCTGTCCCATATATGGAACAACTGGAAGAGTTCCAGAAACTTGAGGAGGAAGGAAGGAGGGTAGCTTTTGCTAAATTTGTCAAACGTCAAAAGGTACTATTCCCTTGCCACACACAAAGTCGGTTTTAGATTATTGACGGGAAAGTGACAGGAGAAGCTCCGCGAGGCATCGGATGATGGGAACTCCACGAGTGGGCGCCGCCGCAAGGAGCCACATGGAGAATTGGACTATGGGGATCGGGACCGTCCTCGAGATTCAGAACGCTCATCTCGTCATCACCACCGTGATGCCATGGAGGTGGAGCCATCTGACCGAAGTCCACACCCTCGCGATAGAAGAAGTGCATACGATAGGAGGGAACGGAGTCGTGAGCGGGAACGCGAGCGTGAACGTGGGAGAGACAGGGATTATGATAGGCGCTCTTACGACAGACGCCATGACAAGGATGATGGGCGAAGCTCAAGGGGCCATCATCGAGAAGAATATCGCGATAAACGGCGTCGTTCAAGGGACTTGTCGTCAGACAGGGCAGACTATCCTGTTCCTCTCGGGGAGTCGCCTTATCCAAATCCGAAGGATGTCGGCTTAAAGGGTGTCGATGACGAACCAAAAGCAAAGGTGAGTGATTATGTTTGTGATGCAGTCTGATCCTATTCCAATAGTATTCATAGCGAGTAAAAATGGACGAGCAGCTCGCGGCCCCTCCCGCCAGAGATTCGAGCCCGGAAGAGGGAGAAATTTAATGCGAAAATTGATCCACCAGGGCCACTGGCCTCTCATCTTAGTTTTTCCTCTACTTCAATTCCACTCAGACGCATGAAATAACAAGTGTCATCAGTGATGGTAAAGTACTTATACGATGTGAATGGGCTCGGTCAACTCCGCCCCGCAAACTTCCAGGTCACGTGCAGTCCTATCTGACTTGCTAATCGCATCCACCACGACCGCTTATGCGCTCGTCGCCACAACCGCCAACGAAGCTTTGTGACAGACCCCCACCCTTAAACTATTAGTTTGTTCCGCTGTTCGTCCTCGTGATCCGTTTGTCTTAGCTCGAGTCTGTATAATGGCATCTTCTGTCTCTTACAAATTCAAGTCTCAGAAGAACGAGTCCAAGATTGCTTTTGATGGCACTGGGATCTCTGTTTTTGACCTGAAGAAAGAAATGATCCTAGCCAATAATTTTGGGAAGGCGGTTGATTTCGACCTCCTTTTGTATGACCAGGCAGGCAAAGGTGCGTCAGACGTTTGGTGATGCGTCATGGTTATTCTGACTTGACCACATAACCCAGAATACACCGATGATAACTTCATAATACCACGGTCATCCTCTGTAGTAGCGAAGCGAATGCCAGCGTCGAAACCTGGAAAAGGGCGCGCAGCAAATTATACAGCAGGAAAAATTGCACAATCTACTGACCGCCGTAATGATCAACCACAGCCTACACCAATGGCCACATCCTGGAGAAGAACAAATATAGGATCAATGTCGAAACGCTTTGATGGGAAGGATGAGAAGATTGCTGCGAACAAGCCCCCTCAGGTAAGCAACTCGTTCCCACTGTTTGCACATTTGTCCCACATAACGAGTTCATAAGACGGATCCAACCCCTCGTCCTGCCCCGGAGAATGATGAACAAGCTAGAATTAGGGCTATGTTCCAAGCAACGTCGGAACACTGGGAGGAGACTCAAGAAAGAATGAAGCAGTGAGTGTCGCAATATGATCCCCGAGCGGGCAGAATAGTCGAACACTAACCAACGCCACTTATCCTAGTGCTACTCCCATATTCACCTCTCGTGGCGGAGGACCCAAGCGCCCACTGCCACCCCAGCAACAATTCCCTCTTGAGCCGAGACCTCTACCTCCCGGCTATATCTGTCATCGCTGTAACAAGAAAGGTTTGTAAATTCTCGATAGCCGCAGCAACTGCTTATTATGACTACGCAAAAGGACATTGGATTCACGATTGTCCCACCAATGACGATCGTGACTTCGATAATCGGCCTCGCGTGAAAAAGACGACTGGTATTCCTCGTAGTTTCTTGAAGTCTGTTGAGCTTACGGGTGACACTCCGCAGCCGGGAGTTATGATCACACCTGAGGGTGGTTTCGTCGTTGCACAACCAGACTCGTACGCCAACCTGTCCCGGCTTTAAAGGGTTATAATCCTAATAGATATATACTCCTGCAGCGAGACCTGGAAAAAGCAGACAGCCCGGCGTCCTGGGATGACGGAAGTGGAACTTAGGGAGAGGCCACCATCGGATCCTACTCTCCAGTGCCCTATCTGTAACAAGCTCTTCCGAGAGGCGGTGAAAACGCCGTGTTGCTCCAAAACTTTCTGTGAAGAATGTGTACAGACCCATTTACTGGAACGCGACTTTTCATGTCCTGGTTGTCAGGAAAAGATTTCAACTCTTGACATGCTCATTCCTGATGTTGTAACTCGGGGTCATGTTAAAAATTATACGGAAGAGGAGATTGCAAAAAGTGAGGAAGCTGCAAATGATCTGTCAGAAATTGGGAAAGTGAGTTGTTTCATCAATGCAGCGGAGTAAGTCACCATCAACCCTTTCCCCTCAGACTTCGAAATCGCCAGAGCTTGGCGATACCCAAACAAATTCCGGGCAAGCTGATGGTGAAGAGTTTTATGACGCTCAGCCTGGACTGTCAAATACTCCAACAATGCCATTACAAGACGATATACCAAGCCTTCAAGCCCAGATGGCTCAACTTATGATTATGATGCAATCACCCGCAATTCTGCCGCAAGTCCGGATGCAGCTCGATATCCAGTTTCAAGAACTCAGTATGCGCTTAAATCAACTGCAAGTGCAACATCAGCAGTTCTATTCTGGAATGGGGGGTGGACCGATTATGGGGATGGGGACAGGAATGGCTCTGAATATGACAATGGGCGGCATGGATGGTATGTTAAATAACAATTATGTGGGTGGAAATCGGACAAGTGGATATCAACGTTTCCACCAACAACCACAAAATGGTGTGTTTCTAGATTAGACATCAGACTAATCTGCTTATCACTTTTCTCCTGCCATCCAGAGGCAGAATCGCCATACCAAAGATTGCCTGTCAATCCGCGACGTCGGCTCCAGAAGCGAGATCGACCAGAGGAATTTCTGGAAGCGAATGGAATACAGAAGATTCCTCGTTTCTACGGGTGATGGTCCCATTGTATTCTTTTCTCAATTGGACTTTCTCGGACGCATCTTTTAGACATTAAAGGCATGATACGTGTACACAAGTAGCTACAGCCTAATGAAAATGAGGTTATGGGGACGTTAGAATGATTCTGATCGAAATTCATGCGGCAGTTGGTGCTTCATTGTTCAAATCAGTTGATTTCAGCAACAATTTCTGGTATCCGTCCCACGAATCGATGATCTGACGGTGGATGTATCAGACTATGAAATCCTGAAACGTCCCTTAACACGTACTTCATTCTGGCGCCTCAGCATCCCATCTAAAAATCGCTCAAGAGATATTTTGAAGTCGTTAATCCTTTCCCTTTCGAACCGGTCCACTTCGGCTTTACATAATCTAGTAACCTCTTCGAATTTGGTTCGTGCTTCTTGAGCCTTTAACTCGACCTGTTGAATTTGAGAAACTTTCGGGTGCATTGGACTTCCGGCAGACTACACACCTGCTCTATCTCCCGCTGCAGAGGAACCATCGATTGACGATCCACCGTGTGTTGTCGTATAATCTTCTCATTCGCATTTCTGACCCGTAAGCGCTCACTTTCGGTTAGCTTCATATTATGGTATGTTTTGGTGCGGGATTGGAATGCCAGCTGAGATGCCGCTCAGTAAACATGGTGCGGGCAATTGGGCGCCTGGCTCACCCGAACAGAGGTGATCAAACGAATGTACTCGTCCACTGTTCGCCTATTTGTTAGCAACAGATCATTGTATTAAAGAGGGTGCACACCTGTTCCTGTCAATAAAACAAGATCGTCCCTTGCTTGACTGTCGTGCAACTCTTTGGCTTGTGTTTCGACCTGAGCTAGTACTTTCATAGATTCAGATAAATGCTTGCTCAGATCCGAAGCCGCCAGCGCTGCTATGGTGTCGGCGAATTCCTGAGTTGCGGTGATGACCTCTTGTACGTGAGAGCAAAACATTCTTTGCGTCAGAAACAGATTCGGTTGCGAACAGGAAGCCTACCCGTCCGTTGTTTCGCCACGGCCTCTATAGCCTTGACCAAAGACCGGAGTTGAGCCTCGAGTGTATCTAGGTAGGTTTTCTTCTTATCAAACCACTGGAGATTTTTGCTTGAATCGCGGTATCATGACTCTAGACATATCAACCCACTTCATCGGTTTCATGGAATTTAGACCCAGATATCGAACTTCCTAGGGAAGCGAGGAAACCACCTGTCGATGACTCTGCTCGTCTATGCTTGATCTAAAGCGACATCAATGCTGATGAAGGGTTGAAGTGTATTCGAACATAAAAGGCACTCACGTCAAGTGAAAACGTGTCTGACTCCAGGAAAAATATAAAATCGAGATCATTCGCTAATTTTGCATGGTTCGCGATTTTCTGTATGCACTTATTTAGGGCCAAGCGCCTCGATTCCACGAACGACCCCTCAAAACGCCCCAAAGCAACTTTCTCGGGGACAGGAGGGACTATGATGCCTGGATTATTGGAAACAAGGGTCTCATAGAGCCAGAGGAAGTCTGAGTAACGTCGTAGGACAGAGAAAGAATCCTTCTTGAATGCTGGATGATTTGTCTATGTTGGTGCATATGATTAAAGCCACGCAACACGCAGGAGAATCGACATGGGGCAAAATATACCTTTGTTGTGACGGTGTAAACTATGTGAGCACTGATTGGATCGCCGACCTTCTGGGGATCTCCCACAGTTATCGTGAACATGAGCTGGGGTTTGGTCTGTTCTGTCTGGAGAATGAATTGGAAAATGTCCATTTATATGCTAGGAGGGACCATCATACCTTGATCGCCAACTTGCTCTCTAAAGTAGCCGCCAATGGCTTGTCGTCGTCGTCGTCATCTGGCGTTGGCTGAGCAGGCCGGCCAAAATCAATTCGCGCTCCAGGGAGTGGATAGGGTGGTGGCGACGCTACGCTGCCCCACCCAGGAGCTTCGCCACCTAACGCAAGAGCATTCGACTGATAACGGGGGCGGGTGATGTGAGTGGGGAGGTGAAGTCCTGGTGAGACGGAGGGTGGGGAGGCATTTGGAATGATGACTTAGAGGGGCCCGGAAGTGAAGGGGAGGTGGTATCTGGGGAAGCACTGGAGAACGGTGACTTCGAAGGTTCAGCAACAGGCTCATCCGACCCTATTCGCAGCGAATCCTGTTCCCCTGTGGGGAGATGCGCCGATTTATTTTCTGTGGCATATGAGGTGTCCGTAGGGGCGAGGGGGGTCTTAGGAGTTCCAGGCTCTGAGAGTGCAGGGGGTACTGACTTTTCTTCCAACGAACTCGAAATGCCCATCTGAAGCGTGGAGCTAGGGAAGGAGGCGCAGCATTTTCTGGAGCCCCGGGAGGAGAAATTACAGTAGGCACCATTTTGGGAGAGGCCTTTATTGCAGGGAGAGGGGCAAACGTCCCTCGCGGCTGGACGGGCTCTTCTATAACAGACACCGACGGTGCATCCAAAGGGTCCACTTCTTCGGTAGCAGAATGTTCTACCCCTTTTCAGAATGTGACACAAAAAGCTCGGTGCCACGGGTTTGTGCTGTCAGTGTGTTGGTAATAATAGCCTCATCGTGGTATGAAAGAGCAGCGAACGGTGTCTCGTCAGCGTAGGGATTTGCATACGGGTCATCCGGTTGGGCTGGCTGCTGCTGCTGCTGCTGCTGCTGGTAAAACGATGCAGCAGTGGACCAAGGATCTGGCGACCGTGGCCGCCCAACATCTGCAAATGGGTCCGCAAAAGGATTGTCTAATATCGGATTCGAGGTCCAGACAGTTTTGGAATGAGATCGTCGAACCCCGACATGTCCACCTCCTGCTATTACTACAAAGATACCCGAATAGTGGTTATTTCACAGTGCTCTGTCTCTTGACGCGCTTGATGTTGGCTCACAGGCGAAATATTGAAGAGGGCATCACGTGGAGCGCGCAGGAGAGAAGCTCTAATCCAACAGAGGCTACGGACCCCAACTTCATGCGATATCTTCTTTCAAGGTAGGAGGCATGTTCACCCCTCTTCGCATCTTGACCATACATATCAGGGGGCTTGACCCTCTCCTGGGCGTTTTCACCGGAGTCCTTGCATATAAAATGTCAGAATCAAACCCTAGAACCGCGCCGCCACCAGGAGACACCCTCGTGAGGCTTGTCAAGTGGAAGTTGAACTCATGGAAATCTGACCGTGAGCAACGACTCCGAGATGATGGAACAAGGGTCACACGAACCAAGCCCACGGATACCATTCCTAGCGCGTAATATGGGCATTTTTCTCCGATCACCATCGATCCCAGGGCGTTTCCAACTAAGAGGCGGACCCTCACCCTGAACTCCTATTAGGTGATTATTATATGTAGCTGTAAGACATTCGAATATTCCAACGAATGTAGGGTCACACCGAAGATAGAGGAAATAATAGATTTTATGGATGGTTCGCGACAGTACGATGTGTAAGCATCATCTTTTGAGGGAAGATTCAATTGCAAAAAGAGAAGTGAGATCATAGCTTCAAGTCCTCTAATTGGTGCTTGATTGGTCCACTCCAATCACCCTCCTCCCGACACTCATGAAGCATTGAAAGACGCGACGTGGTCTTCAACTACTTTCTTAATCTCCTGCTCCATCTCTTCAGCCACGTTTCCTTTGGAGATTTTCTCGAGGAGGGCACCCTGGGACGAGGTAAGGTGCTGACGAAACTCAGCCTCCCACTGAACGATCTTATCAACGGGAATAGAATCAAGGAGGCCATTCACACCAGCATAAATAACGGGAATTTGAACCTCAACTGCCAGAGGTTGATACTGGCCTTGCTCTATAAAAACAAGTTGGTAAATTGGAAAACAGGGAATGGGAATACTCACTGAGAAGCTCAGTGAGACGTGCACCACGGCTGAGCAAGAAGCGAGTGGAAGCGTCCAGATCCGAACCAAATTGAGCGAAGGCAGCAACTTCACGGTACTGAGCAAGATACAGCTTGAGGGAACCTGCAAATTTCTTCATCATCTTGCTGTAATATACCATACAGTGTTAGTCTCTGTTTCGACGATAGACAGCTAGGCGAACTCACGTCTGAGCTGCGGAACCGACACGGGACACAGAGAGACCGACGTTGATAGCCGGGCGAACCCCACGGAAGAAGAGCTCCGCCTCCAAGAAGATTTGACCATCCGTAATCGAAATGACATTGGTGGGAATGTAAGCGGAGACATCACCACCTTGAGTCTCGATGATAGGGAGTGCAGTGAGCGAACCACCACCAAAGTTGTCATTCATCTTGGCAGCTCGCTCAAGCAAACGAGAATGTAGATAGAAGACGTCACCAGGGTAGGCCTCACGCCCCGGGGGACGACGAAGCAGAAGTGACATCTGACGATATGCGACAGCCTGTTTGGACAAGTCGTCATAAATAATTAGGGCGTGTTTGCCGTTGTCACTATAGAAATAGAAAGGATGAGCCCCGGTCCGAGTTACGCAATGCATATCACACTCTCTTACCGGAACCATTCACCCATAGCGCATCCAGAGAACGGAGCCAAGTATTGCAGAGGCGCTGCCTCAGAGGCAGTTGCAGCAACGACGATGGTGTACTTAAGCGCATCGTTCTCTTCGAGCGTTTGAACGAGCTGGGCAACAGTGGAGCGCTTCTGACCAATGGCAACATAAACGCAGTACAATTTCTGGCTCTCGTCCTGACCATCATTCCAGCGTTTCTGGTTCAGGATGGTATCGAGAGCAACGGCGGTCTTTCCGGTTTGACGATCACCGATAATCAACTCACGCTGGCCACGACCAATTGGGACCATAGCATCGATGGGCTTGAGACCGGTCTGCATGGGCTGGTTGACGGAACGACGGGGCAAAATCCCAGGTGCTTTGACGGAGGCTCGACGGCGCTCAATCGCCTCAACTGGGCCCTTACCATCAATAGGGTTCCCGAGGGCATCGAGGACACGCCCGAGAAGGCCAGGACCAACAGGAACATCCACGATTTGACCAGTGCGCTTAACAGTATCACCTTCTTTGATTAGGCGATCGTTACCGAAGATAGTGACACCGACATTGTCGGCTTCCAAGTTGAGACACATGCCGCGCACGCCAGAAGAGAATTCAACCATTTCCTCTATCAAAATTGGCGGCACAAGGACCTGCAACATGAGTAAAAGATGCAGCAGGGAATTCTGGGATACGCACCGGCTAATTGAAAAAAGATGCGGGTATCACAGGAGCATACAGTCAGGTCACACATGTCTATTCGTGAGTTTACGACAGACCTTGGACATTGTTCAGGCCATAGACGCGAGCGATACCGTCACCAATAGCTGCAGACGTAAGTTGACTCAAAAACCGTGCTCCGACTCCAAAATGATGCACGCACTCAGGACACGGCCAGTCTCCTGCACGTCTCCACCGAGCGAAGTGCCAGCAATACGCGACTCAAGGATAGAGGATACCTCCGACGCAGCTGTATAGCAGGTGACGTGAGAACAATCATGTTGAGCAAAAGACAATGAGCTCAAAACGCCTAATTTACCTGGCTTAGCAGTAGCATAGCGACGAGTGAAGGCGGAGGCAGTGGCAAGGGTCTGCTCACGGAGCTACAGAGGATGTTCGATAACGGAAGTCAGCGTTGGCGAAATTGGCTGTGAAATTTGCTCCGAGAGTACAACCGCGGAGTGCGCGGGCACTTACCAGAGGGGATGCCCTTGCGATGGCTGCGATGCGCACAGAATTTCTGACGACGGAATGCATCGTCAACGATGAGGCCAGTGAGTGGGACGAGAGAGAAAGTTGGCAGGGGAAACTTAGTAGCACGGTGAGAAAAAACTCATCCGGCGAGTTGCACGTTCCTCAATTCAAAGTCCTGCTGGAAAGGCCCGACGCCAACCACCACAGGAACCAAAGCCGACACCTGTCAGTCATGGCGCCCTTGGGTAAGCTAACATGGCCGTTACAAGACCCTTGGCGCTCACCATCCCGCAGTTTTTCCTGGGAGAATATTACTCTCCAGGGCGATCACAAAGCCACCTATTCTGTTCTCCAGCACATTGGCCAAAAGCGCGACTTCTACTGTCAATGCTAACACTCCCCTTGCCACCAGCTCCACCAGCACGTCCCCTTCAATCCCGAATCAACCAACGCGGCCCTAGAACTCATTCGCTCCGAGCCGAATCATTACGTGATAGCCAATTTCCTTGGCCGTAAACTCCTCCTCTCCCCCGCGACCTTCTCACTGTCCCTCGCATTAAAGATGTGGCGGTGGGTGACATCCTTTCGTTGTCTGCTATATCGGAGGTGGGTTCGCGGATGTATACGCTCCGAGGAGATCCTACCCTTCCAAAGGACACAGTACGCGTCCACGCTACCGTTGTGGAGCATACAAAGGGCAAACTCGAGAAGATTGTAAAGTTCAAACGTCGGAAGGGATACCATCGAACGATACAGCACAAGCAAACATATACAAGATTGCGAATCGGACCAATAGAAATTCCGCCGAATGTACAAAATAGCTTAGCTTCTGCTTCGCAATAATCACAATAAATTAACAAGAAATCCTTCAACGAGTCCCATTTACACATCCATTTCGGCAATTGCTTGTCTGGGAGAGAGGTTAATCATGCACCATTTCAATAGATGGTTTATTACTCACTGATATGCAGCTTGACACTCGAGCCGAAGCTTTGGGTTCTTGAACCTTGCCTGCCGCAAATGTGCAATGATCATTAGCAAACTGTAACATCTAGAAAACAAGATGGGCCTACATCTAACATGTTTTGATCCAATTCTGCGGCAGAAGGTGAGCTGGATATACCTGAAAGAAGGCGAAGCACCCACCCTTGTCTTCTCCCAACAATCGTACCTCGCTCTGTGCCACTGCAGCCCTAAGATTGCTCTTTATCTTGTTGCTGCATGTGCAGTCAGATGATTCTTACCAGCTATGCTTCGAGTCATAGAATTGAACGATATAGACGCGTTGCCCTGCACTCTTGCCCCTAGTCTTGAGCACGGAGTATGACTCTGAAACATCCGTTGGTACTCGGTCATCGTCTTCCTCAAATACAACTGCTGGCCAAAATGGATAGTATGCTATCATCCCCGTAAACATGTGATTCCCGTCCAGATATGTTACTGACTCACGAGCCTTCGCCCATACTGCGAACACAAGGTCAGTCGGAAGCTGAGGGAATCCGGCTCCAAGTCACGTACCCAATGTTCCCCCGGCAGGTGACCACCGACCTGAACGGGTACGAGTGGCGTTGCCTCACGCATCGAATTTCCTGACGCCATGGCGCCATGAGCAGCCTCTTCATCACTTAGCTCACTTAATTCGCTCCAAGACGCTTCTGGAGGAGGGGATGGCGTCTCTTGCCCGCTTGCAGGCTGACCGTGTGGCAGGGTTGCCGTTGATGTTAACACCTCGACTGAGTAGTTAGGAGGGCTGGATGGCCCCAAATCGGTATCCATAGTCGAGGGAGCCGTCCCGCTGGTTGGGGGTTGTTCCAAAGTGAGATTCTCATGAGGAGCGCTGGCTTCTGTTGCCAGTCGTGACTTCTTCCTGTCTGTGAGAAGCTGTGAACTCAGAACTCCCATCAGCTTCAACGGGTGACATACCATTGTGATATGGCACTGACGGCCGCTCTGGTGCAGGTCGGTTACCCCGACGAGACCCAGGAGGCAACACCCATCCCCAGTTGAACATCGCGAAACTTTGCTTGTTGTTCACTTCTTCTACATATGCTGGCATACCAGGGTTCATGACCCCCTCCTTTTCCTCTTCCTCCCTTTTGCGCTTTTTGCGATCTTCTCGATACTCGCGCTGTTTCTGGCGCCTGAGAACCAGTGCCTCTTCGGCAGCTCTCTTCGCAGCTGCAGCTGCTTCTTCAGCAGCCTCTCTCTCAGCAGCGGCGGCAATCTCTGGTGGAACTTCGTTTGCATTGCTCTCCAGCGCTGCTGCAAGCGCTCTGGCACTGCGCGTTCGAGGTGTAGTACGCCCTGAACGCTGAGACGACTCTCCAGAAGACTGGTGCTCCTCACCACCGGCCCCACTTGGTGAGAGCGCGTATGGAGCCAACAATGATTGCTCTGCAGCATGAACGCTTCTTGTAAGCCTTATCGGAGGGGCTCGGAAAACACCAACCCCTTCCGCTGTAACTTCTCCAGCTGCTTGCTTCCGGAATCTCTCTCGTGCGCGGGGTTTTGAGGGCTTCGCAGCCTTGGGAGGAGGAGGTTTGACGTTCAATAACTCTTGGCTGAACAGCGACGTTATTGGGTCCGCAGTAAGCATCATGTTTGTATGATCATCGATAGAACCAAGTGTCGTGAGTATTCGTAACGTCTCTATGGGAGGCTCTAAATCGCCTCGCTGCGAGGAATCATCCAGCATGCCGGAAGAAAGGCCGGGCGGTTGAAGTTTTTCGAGAATGGGAACCATCTGCGTTTTCATTCTAGCGGCGAGTTTGTGATATTGATGGTCGGGTCGATTATACAAGAGACTGTTATCAAGGATGAGGTGAACATCATCCTACCGCGCAATGAGAGTTGTGGCCATCTAATGAGACCTTTATGCAGCCACAAACCTTGAAATCCTGAACACTGTTGTACTCATGTTGAAGCAGCTTGTTCCGCATTTGCTGCCAGCTCATAGGTCGCTTCACAATCGTGTGGTAATCGGGGGCATCTGCCTGCGTGACGGGATTGGCGAACACGTGAAACCGATCAAGACTGCAAGTATTCCAGAATCAGCACCAGCAGCAACGGCTCGCGACCAGAGCAGTCACCTCTGAACTTGGTCAAAAATGCTCAACAACGCGTCATCAAATGGAAAGAGGGCTTTCTCGAGAAAAGACGTTATGAGTTGTGCTTGCCGTGTCTTTTCTTTTTCCCTTTTACGAGCGAATTCTGCCATCGTCCTTACTTTCTCGAGGTCGCTGCGAATCCTGGTCAAGAACTATAGCGGGGAAATGAGCATTACGGAATGAGAAATCTCGAACGCAACACACATTTAGTCGTATCAGTTTGGCCTCCTCCGTTTGCGATTTATTGACGGAGGACGCCGTCCATGGCTGTCCCGATGTGAGGGTCATCTGCTACTCGTAAGTGAATGGCGTACCTCTAGATGTAGGCGCTTGAGCAGCGGCGCGCCTCGCCTCGCCTCGCGCTTCAAACTCCAGTATCGACAGACGGCAGTGACAAAGATAAGCTTCTTTCGTAACGAGATCTTGTCAATGTACTTCATGATGTTGTTGACAACTATGGCTGGGACAAGGGGAGGTCCAGACCGATATGATCTGGCATATGCCTTTGCGCTCTTGGTCGACTTTGGCGATGATCTTGGATTACCATCCTCATCCAGCGAAAGCGCTTCACGTGCAGTCCTCATTTCGGGCTGGCAATATATTTCAGGAACAAGTATGGCGGAAAGGGAACAGATGGCATACGGTAAGATGCTTCTCGCAAAATGCCCGCAGTGGCGTTTCTTGAGGGGCCACATCATGATTGTCAGGGTCAGGCAATGTTTTCATTGGCGCTAGCAAGCCATGTTGACGTGCACAGGTGACATGAAAAGCCGCAAAGCATGTGCGGTTGTCGCATTGTATGCAAGCACCCATCCGGTAGGAACACAGTGAACAGTGCTTCGAAAGCGATGAATACCGACAAATTCAAATTCTAGAGTGACATACCAGCTTCCAACGGCTTTTAGGTATCTTCTTGACATTATCAATTGGTTCCATAAAGACTTGATTCCCGACTGTAATCTCCGGGACCCAGATCGCACACAACAGATGTGCCCATTTCCCCTCTGTCGTTTGCTTGAATGCACCTCCTTCATTTGGACACAATATACAAGACTGATGCATGATGAGCCCTCACTTGACGAAGGATAAGGAAATAAAGCATTGTGCGTACAACGGGCATTTCAGGCGCAACAGTACACTTCCGACATAGCCACTGCCCCTCTGGTATGTAGGGAACGCCATAGCAGTCTGTAGATGGAATGTATTCGAAGGTCTGTTTCTGATGAAGTAAATGCACACCTTGATGCACTGCAAGATTGCATCCATCACAGAAAACGATGGCATTGCTGTTCTCCCCTTCACCGTCGTCACAAACAGCGCACGTTGAGTCTTCGGAGGGCAACGCAGTCTCTTGCTTCGGGACCTTCTTCATCTTCGGAACGCATCAGGAAGAACCAGATATTGAAAATACATTGGACTCACCAGCTCAAACCACTCCTTTTCCAAACGGTCCATAATGATTTCAAAAGTCTCATTCGAAACTTGGTCCACCTGCTCTTTTCGGCGATCCTGATTCATTGCTATCAGCCATTCCTGGTCTGCGAACAAAGCGTGAAATATGGAATTATACGGAGAGCATACACTCACCTTGTTCATCCATGTCATATTCTACTTGGCGAGCTAGCTCGGACTCAATAGGCTCAATGTATCGTATGTAGTGATCGGGCATCACAAAGTCCTCGCCATCATTATCTATGGAGGCGCGTCAGCGAGTGCTTCGGGTAGATAAAGGTGCAATAACTCGCATCCAAAGCTTCGAGCCTGGTTATCGAACACTGGGATAGGCGAAGTTGGTACATCTTCCTCAACTTTGCGAAAAGAAACTTTCCTATTAGAGTGCTTCATTGATATGACTCCATCGAACAGCCTTGATAACATACGGCAATGGCGGAGGCTGGTGAGCAGTCAGGGACGAGGCGCGAGGCGCCATGCCTCGCTTGCACCAACTGAATTGGTCGGAAGTTCCCTTAGTGTGGTAAGGGAACCCAATCTCTCCGTTCCTGAGTACGCAAAGAAATTTAGTCCATGGGCTACCCGAGTACTAGTGTTACCCGTGTTGTGAACGATGAGTGATGGCTTTTGGGCGTAAGGTTGGTTGCTCTCCGACGATTGTCTACGCTCGCTCCCGAGACTGACTGAAAGTTTGGTTCCGGTTCAGCAGATCGTGAATCAACCGAAGTCATGGTCACAGAGCCATCCGATCCTTACTTTCCGTCCATTGGCAAGGCCGCAGAACAGGCTGGTCTTCTCCCTAATGACGATTCCGACATACAGGCAGACGAATCCATCGTGGATCAGGATCGCCCCATTGAAGAGGTCGAAAGTTTATGCATGTCCTGTGGGCAGCAGGTATCATCAATCAAACGAATTTCTCCTTCGCATAGCCCTGACCTCGCCCTCACACATTCAGGGCATCACAAGGATGCTGTTGACATCCATTCCTTATTTTAGAGAGATCATTGTACTGTCGTTCCAGTGTGAACATTGCGGGTTTAGCAACAACGAAGTGCAACCAGCGGGTTCATACAAAGGCGCGCATATGAAACTGAAGGCTCTGTAATTCGTCCTTATCTTCATCCTGTAGAACAAGGAACAGTCAATACCGTTAAAGTGCTTCACCGCGATGACCTGAATCGTCAACTCGTGAAGTCGAACACATGCACTGTAACTATCCCTGAATTCGAGCTCACCATCCCTGCTAGCAAGGGACAACTGACCACAATCGAAGGCATTCTACGAGATACAGTCACTGATCTTAGCGCGGAGCAGCCATTACGTCGGATACAAGATGAACATGCATACAACAAAATTCAGGGACTTGTGGACAGCTTAGCCGACATAATCGCTGACACCGACTCCAAAACGGAGAGTTTATCAGACAGCATTCGGGAGGAGCCAGGAAAGGGACAACATGAGAAACCTATACGCGCTTTTACTATCACTCTGGATGACCCAACAGGCAACTCCTTCCTCGAGTTCCGAGATTCCGCAGCTGATCCTCAGTGGACGCTCAAGAGATATAGCCGCACGAAGCAACAAAATATCGAACTTGGCATCACCGCGCCTGATGATGACTCTGAATTGTTCACGGGGCATCATGAGCCCAGTGACGTGCCAGATAATGACGAAGTATTTACCTTCGCCGGTAGTTGTTCGTCGTGTGGGAGGCCATCGGATACAAGGATGAAGAAAGTAAACATCCCATACTTCAAAGTCAGCGGCAAATTGGTTTTCTTACTCACATGATGAACCTCTCAATCGGAGTCAATGGTTTTCTCGAGTAGGAGGTCATCATCATGTCCACCAATTGTCCGCTCTGCGGATATAAGGACAATGAAGTCAAGTCTGGTGGTGCAATCGCACCTCAAGGAAAAAGGATCATTCTCAAAGTGGAGGATCAGGAGGACCTAACACGAGACATTCTAAAGGTTAGCTGCGCCTCTCATAGCTGCAGACTCTGGGCCCAGCGAATTCAGTATAGAGCGAGACTTGTGGCTTCGAAATTCCCGAGATTAATCTTGTCCTTCATTCTGGCACACTGGGAGGACGATTCACGACCCTCGAAGGTCTCCTGCAGCAGATATACGACGAGCTAAGCTCGAAGGTTATCATAGGAGACTCCGCAGATGGCGGCGAATCTGATAAGGAGAAATTCACGAAGTTCCTTTCTGACCTGAAATCCGTATGTCTCGAAATTTACCCTTCCGTAAGAACCTGACCATCCATTTTTTGTACAGGTAATGAGTGTTGAACGACGGTTTACTATCATCCTCGACGACCCTCTTTCAAATTCGTACCTCCAGAACATCTATGCTCCCGACGAGGATCCTAACATGACGGTGGAAGCTTACTCCAGAACCTTGGAACATAACGAGGATCTTGGTCTAAACGACATCAAAGTTGAGAACTATGAAGAACCTCACGCTGGGCAAACTGTTAATCAGGTGGAATGACGGTGCACACTATAGATGCAATATGATACGCATACCACGATATCTAATCGAGAAGTTGACATGGCTTATAGTTCGTTAATCAAAATCTTGTCTTCCCCATCTGGATTGAGCTCGTCCCTTCACGCTCAAATGCGGCACCTTCAGAGGCGGCCTGTCTGATTTCCCTGCGAAAATATTCACTCAACCAGTGCAGAGTCCAAGGTTGAGGTGACATACCTTTGTTTGGCACTGGATTTTCTCCCAGCTGTCGCAAGCATTGGTGCGGGATTAGGTGGCCTCAGGTTCTCATGTATCACCGGCGAGATATTATATACCCGATACAGCTCAAATACCGCCTGCTCCTTGTCTTTTGCCTGATTATCCATGGCGATCAGCGAATTCACATTCCACATTTAGGAAAGACAACATCGCTCCGCTCACCTCAATCATGAGATCCACATCATCAGGTAGTCCTTCCGGTAAACTCTTACAGCGATCCGCATGTGCTCTCTTCTCCATGACCGATTCAGCGCCAGGGCGAGGTTCGCTGTGATGCTGTTTGACCTTGATACCTTTCCGCTGCCAAATTTGATTCACGATTGGGATAAGTTCCGTGACCGGCCGGGTCGAAGGATTGATCCAATCATGGTGATAGTCCACCTGATGTCGGTAAAGGATGAGAGACATTAGTTGCGTTTGCGAGCTACTTACCACGATGGGAATATTGAGTTCGTCGCAGACGGGAATGAGGTCGTCGAGATTATAGCAAATCTAATTTGGCAATCGTACGTTAAAGGTGGGGCAGAAATGTCCCAAACAGTCGATCATACTTCGTCATTCTCCAGTACCAGTCGAGATTTAATCCGATCGCTAAGCCGGGTTCCGTAGCTGTGCTTGAACCTCTCGAGCGTGGCTTGCTTATCTCCGTACACACCCTGTGGGAAGATCAGAACAGCAGTGAGGTAAGCGAAAGAAATCGACACCCACTCCCATATGGATAATCATGACACTATCTACACCTAACTCCATCCGATCTATCATCTCGCAATGGTACTCCAGCTCGTTTACAGATTGGGTAACGACGCCTTCCTTGGGACTCCCCAATTGCGTAAACTGTCCCGGATGTGTGGTGAGGCGGTGTCCAAGCGAATTTGCCATTCGTCCAACTTTCTGCAGTCCGGCGCAAATAAAAACAGATGACCGACCTAGATCACTGAACGAACCTTCAGCTCCTCGTCTGCGAACGAGAGATCGTATCCGTATTTTGGATGGCTTGCAAAAGGGAACATCTCTGAAGAAACCCTCATAAACTTAATACTGCACAGTGGAAGATTACATCAACTGAGGAACGCAAAGGAACTCCATCTAGAAACATACTTATTTGCTTCATTCCACTGTAACCGAGAGTCAGACTTCCTTTTGTGAAAGCCCCAACTAGGTGAATACACACCTCGATAAGCTTCCCCAGATCCCTGACGTTTTGCAAGGCGAGATCAAATACGAACTGCATCCCATTCTTCTCTATCGTCTCTATTCGACATGTGCGCGAGCAGAAGACTGGATCGGGCTTCCGAGCGCGTAGGACAGTGTTGAGGCAAGCCTAATTAAATCCCTATCCATCAACACGAGAAGATAGGCAGAAGACATAGGCACACATATCCAAGACGACCTAAGGATGAAAGGATTGGAGGTCATAAAATATGGTCATGGAAAAAGCAGCCGAACCTCTGAATGTAGTTTCTTTCCTTACCACGTCTGGAATATTATAGACAACTGGAGATTGGACTTTCTTCTTTCTCCTCCTTTTCTTGGGTTTCGGCTCGCCGGTGTCTCCCTTGTTCTTTCCGTCTTCGTATTTCGTTGGAGCGAATGTTCTCTCGGGCTGCTGAGCTGTGTCTGGGCCCTCGGAAGCTGGTTCGGAAAGTGCTAGCCCAGCATTTTCCCGAATTATTGCCCCTCTCCTTTTCTGAGGACGAGGCGCCGGAATCTCGTGAGCCAAGTTTATTTCGCCCGTAATTGAAGACCGAGAATTGATTCTCCTCTCCAAGCCAGCACATTTCCGTTTTCTGCCTTTTGTTTGAACAACTAGTACTATCTCATCCATGCTGATGGGATCATGACTAGTGGCATCTGCCTCACGATGAGTAGGCCCATTCACTGCACTTTTTCTGCTTGGAGAGGATTTCATTCGCCGTTTCGACCGCGAAATAGAAATATCGGATGTGTAGTCTTCGGGCACACTGGACAAATCGCTTGAGTCATTACCAGGCAGGCAAGGAGGCTCAGACCCGAGTTCGGAAGAGACAATCCTTCCAACTGTTCGGCGGGATATCCGACTTGATCTTCTCACAGGACTCATTGGGAGCGAGGTGGTGATCTGCAATGTTGTTCCAGTGATACCGAAGGTACGTGACGGAACAAAGCGAGAACCACCCTCGAGTCTGAAATATCGGGAACAAAATAGCAAGCCTCTAGACGACGTTGTTACCATCCAGGGATTGCAGCCAAGTCGCCGCCGTTTCCCGCTTGAAGTTTTAGAGAATCTCTCGTTGAATTGGTGAGGTTTTCCATTCAGATTTAAGACAAGCGACTCTTTGGCTCAATCGCATTCTCGGCGGAGGGATCGAACCGGATGCAAAATGCTGACTAAATCGGGCAAGTAACTTGTCCCCCGACCAGCCTCTTTACAATAAACACACGCATATGCAATCCCAGCTGGAAGAAGTTCGTATGAGCTATTGCCACGGCCCTTGAGAGCTGCATCTGAGTATTGATCGGTCGTAGCTCCTTCCTTTTCTACACGACAGAAACCCTCAAGCCCGCCAAGTAGCCCTCGCAAACCTCGTTGGTCACACCGCAAAGGAATCGCCTAACCGAGGCATATTCTTCCAGGGTGCTGGGGGTGGCGTCTCTCTGAAGGACAGTATCCCTGTGAGGGATCTAAAGTTGCTATGTCGTGACCAACCGGTGCGCTGTTCACTCCTTGCATATTTTCTCTAGAGCTCACATACGCAGTCGTTCATAGGCGATAGCGCATGACGCGTTCAAGGCACTGGTAAATCTCTCTGATTCGATGCTTTTGGCTTCTTCATTGTCAGAAAAGTCTTTCTTGACCTTCCTCATTTCTTATGTTGCCGTAAGTTTATCCGACCTCTCCTGCTTTACTTTGTGCGACCGTGTTCATAACTTTGCGCCTCCCAATCCTTACCAACAAGAACACCGCATCCCTCCTTGCGGACTTGGCTTCCATGCTACTCTCTAACCTTACAGCTTTCCCGATTGCTGCCAAAGCCCTTTTAAGCCTCAATGTCCCCGTGATCTCCCTCCGTTCTGCATCGTTCTCGGGTCATGCAGTAGGAACCACCGCCGGACTCCCCTCTACGCTATACTTTACGTCCTACTATGCACCTGAATCCCGATGCATGACTTCAGCTCCGCCACTACCGTACCCCTCCGATGACCCAACGGACGTTAACGCTATCCTTGTGTTGGTCGATGCATTTACTCGGGCTGCCTCTGGCACTGTCTCAATATCTGAGAACGACCCGGATAAGAAGGCTGATGCACCTGAATCAATTATGCGGAAAGGAGAATTGCATTTCTTGGCGAGTGTTTTCGCGAACGTCAGTGTGGTACGTCTTTACCCCACCAAAGCTATCAGTCACATGTATTTCTGGGCCTGACATCTTGGAAGTATCCAGCAGCCCGACAAATCTTCCTGACTCCTGCGCCCTCAGAAATAGGGATGCGCGATAAAGACTCAGCACCCTTAGAGTACCCTCTAAGCAAACTCGTCGCATTTACAGAACACCCAAACATAATTCGTCGAAGGGGCGTCGTGTCGACGATTAAGTGTGTTGTCCAGTTGTCTGGTCCATCCAGGTGTTCATTCCCCATTTGACAGGAATTGTGCATTTGACACGTCCAAACATAAAGTCCTCCTCGCACCCGAGAGGAGCATTGATACTGCAGAGAAAAATGCTCAAGCAGGAGTGGGCCTACTACCGGCGATACTCCTTCCGCTCGCCGGACCCGAAGAATTCGATTTGGAGGTATGTAGTCAAAGTCAACCAACAAATTTAATTACGTACCCAATGATCGAACAGGAGATGGAATCACTTCCTCCAGCATTACAATTCCTCCCTCCAACAAAGAGGCGTGAATTAGACCCCCTCCTCAGGCTAACACATGTCGAAACTCTACTACTTCTGTGCACCACACGTAAGGGAAGGGAATCGCTCCGAGAAAATGGTGTATATTTGGTTGTGAGGGCGTTGCACTTGGTTGAGACTGATGAAAGAGTGGGGGTGCAAATACTCAGACTTGTGAGTTTACTGAAGAGAGATGAAGGAGAGGAAACGATGAATGAGGGAGATGAGCAGTGGGATGAGACCAGGATCGATAGGGGGGAAGGCGATGAGAGCGATGAGGACGAGAAAGTGATAGAGATATAACCTATTTTTATTGCACTCTTGGCATATCGGATTCTCCTATACAGATCAAGAAAGTCTTCATGCAGAAGTGGCTCAAGGGAGATTTAGCGTGTCGACAGCCCCGACTTGTGTCGTTCCTCCATTAAATGACAAAACACTAGAGACAATGACCACTGTGCTTGTACCGTAGTCCCAAAAGGAGGCTTGTCAAGTTGCATCCTACAGGGGACATGCTTCGAAATGAAATACTCAAATGATGTACGGTAAGAGTCAAATAGTTGTCGGGACTCTGCTTTGTTGTGGAGCCGGAACTGGTCCCAAAGATCATGATAACGCTGAACTTTCGAAATACGGAGGAAACTATTCAGGGCTCTTACATATACAGACCTGATCAGACGTGCGTATATCGTAGACTACCCTTGCTTCTCACTGGATCCAACATAAGCTTGGTACCTGAACCAATAATCATGTCAGTTAGAACCTGTTGGCACGAGATGATGCACTTACTGCTGGAACTCCTTATTTAACTTGGCCTCCTTCCCTAATTTTCTCTTTGGGGGAGGTTCCTTCGTCTCCCCAGTTGAAGTCAATCCACCACCCATTTTCGCTTTAAGTTTCTCCTTGCGAGCCTTCTTCTTCTCAGCGGCCTCAGCGGCTTTATCCATCTCAATGATTTCGCGGATAGATGGTCCTGATGAAGAAAGACCTTCGAGGCGAGTTGGCCTAGGTGGCGAACGGGAAACATCATCACCTCCTCCACCTTCTCTAGCGTCCGAACCTTGATGCACTTGAGGGGGATGTAGGGAACTAGGTGCAGAACGTTGCTGAGAGGCCTGGGGTCTTTGGGACCACGTGGCTGGCAGAGCAGCGGGCTCGTCCTCTGGGCCTTCACCGAACCATTGTGTGGTGGCCAGTGCATTATCAGGCAGCGCTCGCGATGATGAATATGGGATGGACGTGGGGTTCTCTCTTTCTCCCTCATCGCTGGATTCAATGCCTTCATAATCACCCACATCTGCGAATATGTCCAAATCGTCAGAGGCTTCTTTCATAAGTTGGGTGCCAAGAGATGTGTTCGGGGTGGGATTAGGTCCAGAGGGGATTGATCCGAGAAACGCCTCCTCCGACTCCGGAGGTCGCGCGTTCTGGGTGTCTGGGGGTGCAAGACTGGGAGTAGATTTGGTCGAACGGTCCGTAGTGACAACAGGCGGTTTGGGTGTCGATGACACCGATTTCTCCCCAGGGAGAGACGTAGTAGACCGCACTTCTGGTACACGAGCTTTCTGGGCCTTCTTTTTGAGTTTCGACGAAGTAAGTGCGGCAAGGCCTCCGATAGGCTTGAACTTTCCAAGTTTTTTCGCCCTCTCAAACTCACCCTCTTTTGCTACATCGGGAGGAGTATCTCTTGGCCCCTGACGCTTAAGGTCGGCGAGAATCTCATCTCTTGTTCTCTTGTTCGGGACACTGGAGATGGGAGGCCCGTCCGCTGTTGCATTGTTCCAGCTTGAACCACTTGCGAAAGCAGCTTCGAGCTCATCATCCACTCTCGCCTCGCTTTGTGCAGCGATTCTGGCCTTTTGCTTCTCCAGAAGTGATAGGTCAAGTCCTGACAGCAGATTCCTTAGTAGAGATTGAAAACACGATTGTGAATATCACCTTTCACGGGGATCGTATGTTGCACATCACCACTAAAATATTCTCTCTGTTCGTCTACCTGTTGAAAGGTTTGAAATAAATTTAGCAAGGAGGCAGATGATCATTACCGCATGTTTGTTGGGTCCTGTGTTTCGTCGTTCGAAATCTTCTAATATGCCCTCTACCTTAATTGTAGCAAACGGAAGCTTAGTCTCAAGTGTCTTAGTCGCCGACTCCAGTATGAGACTCACTTCCGCGTAGTCATTGACTCCTTCCCGTCGCTCAGCGGCGCGGTCGCGGAATTTTGGGTCTAACTTCCTCGGTCTGAAAGCAGATAACAGTGGTGCCTTTGCTGAGCTGCCTATGTAAAATTAGTCTGAAAAACTTTCTACTATGTAGTTCGCGTACGAAGGGGCGATCCAACTTCGTTGTTGTTCCGTAGCGGGTTCGGTTCCTCAGGCTCGGGCTTGGAAGTCGACGGACCGCGAGTTGCGTTATCTGCCAAGCTACGAAAGAAGTCCTGGTCAAGAAGCCGTATCAGAGCAGATCGTTGACTCCCAGCTGGACGCGCCGACGTGCCTGATTCATTTCGGTCCCAAGCTTCAAATTCAAACGGCTTCACACGTGGTTTAATCCCAAATTTAATTGACTAAGTTTCCGAATCGTCGCTCGGAAAGCACCAAAAACCCATCTTTTGGAATCTAGCTCCTGTGTCTTTAGTGCCCCAAGTGCCCCACTAATGGCAATCTGCGGTCTTGGCTCTTCTACGTCGTCTCCAGCCCCTTTCGGACGGAGAACAGTGCGCATTAAAATGTCATTGGTGCTGAAGTCCCCCCTGTTGATGATCCTGCTCCTACTCTTCCAACAGATACAACGAAAGGTCGTCATTGTTGGCGATGGTGCTTGTGGAAAAACGAGTCTGCTAAATGTCTTCCTGAATGGTTTCTTTCCCCAAGTCTAGTAAGCGCCGCCGGTGGTTCCCCCCTCTTTCGAGTTCGGCCTCTGACGGCGGCCACAAATTGTGTGGTCCTAGTGAACCGACCATTTTCGAGAATCATGCGCATGATGTTCATGTTGATGATCAAACGGTTGAGTTAGCGCTTTGGGATACTGCAGGTATGCTGTACTGCGCTTCAGGTGAGAAGATAAACAATGACAGGGTGCTCTTCGCAGGTCAAGAGGATTTCGATCGGTATGGAAAATCCATCAAGGTATTTCGCTCTGATAAATATGTTTATTACAGCCTGCGATCCCTAAGTTACCCTGACTCGCATGTTGTCATGATATGTTTCTCCGTCGACAATCCGATATCCCTCGAAAACGTTGAAACCAGAGTGCGTTATTAGATTCCTTCGCATGAGTTTCTGCACTGAATGTCTGCATGCAGTGGATAGAAGACGTGCTGGAGGTGGGTGTAATATTTCTGAACGTTCAAGCGTCGCCCGTTGAGCTTAGTTTCGTACGAAGCATTGCCCAGGGGTCAAGGTTCGCTTTGTTCTTCCTCAAGGCACATAATGATTTACATCGCCCCTCAAATACGTGCAATAGATCGTTTTAGTGGGTGAGAGCATTGATTAACCAATTGCAGCCACCTGTCGACGAATTATCTTGCAGCACTAAAATGCGACCTTAGAGACGATCATAATGTTCAGCAGAAGTTAGCTCGGAGAGGGATGCACCCATGCGGGTACGAAGAAGGATTAGCGATCGCACGCCGAATACGAGCCAGTCGATACATGGGTACGCTTGTCCGAATTTGCAAATAGCCATGTCCACCATTAATTCATCCCAGAGTGTTCGGCGAAACACAACCGAGGTGTCAGAGAAGTGTTTTTCGAGGTCGCGCGGGTTTCCATCAACGCCAAGCCATCGAGTTGGGATAGACGAGGGACTTTCGCATCCCGCGAAAAACACGATGGTTGTCTTGTAATGTGATTCACTATGGTGTTTGATTCCCTTTTTTTCAGGTGAGCTCGTTGCACGAGTGTCCCGTGGCCCCCATTGAACCCTCATATTATTCGCAGTCCGTTTTGGGTAACAGGTTTTTCATATCATGCCCTATTCTCCTTGGCCTAGTAATGGGGCTAATGAAGCAGTGCATGCACCACCAGATAATCTCTCGCTGCACTATCTCAGATGATACCTTGATATGATCAGAAGATCGAAGTCTGGTCTGTATTTGCTAATGACCCGACTATGGTACAATAATAATAGATCGTTCCTTGCCATGTCGATCACATGGGCTCGATATCCACCTTAATTGTGCTCCTGACTGTTCTCAGAGTAGAAGTGCTTGCGAGACAAGCCCCAACCTGCATCGCAAGTATTTCAAAGTCGCATTCCATTACATATGTTGTGCTCCTATTTTTTCAGATTGTTAAGTAAACAGCAAGTGAGGGGGATGCAGGGCTAGTATCAAACTCGTACAAAAAATGTAAGGCGTGGGAAAGCTAGAAGACAAACATCTGCGGGAAATGGGAGTTGTAAGCATGAAGTATCCACCAGCTGTGTTAGTCAAATTGGACAGATCTCGGAGAGAGCAAATAGAAGAAGTCGGAGATGCTACGATACCTGTATTCCCAGTAAGAATGGACAGGCAACAAATAACTATGGACACAACACATGTGTGCACCAATTATCGCGCACAATTAATTACATCGGCACACCACGACACTATACAGCAAGCGACAGAAAAAACCGCACACCTAATTTGGATGAATGACCCAGGCGGGTCTCGTGATGATCCAAAATGGCAGTAAATCAGGGTGCCAATACAATCTTCATTTTGGCGCCCGTAACTGGAACCTAGCTTGTTTTGCATGTAACACTCGGCCACGGGTTTCAGGAAGGAGATCCTTAGCTGGTGGTTGCCCATTGTTACGGGGTGATTAGCACTCATTATTTTCCTACATTGTCAATCAGCTGTTTCCAATATATTCAGAATTATATTGAATAGTATTCATCCAAATTAGGTGTGCGGTTTTTTCTGTCGCTTGCTGTAAATGGGGGTCGGCAAACCAGGTTAGAGCCTGGTGACGCTTACATAAGCAATATTCGTCTCAATCTTAGCCACACCATCCTCACCCTCAAAACACATCATCCTTAGGTTGTAAACTATATCAGAATTAACCAAATAATGGTATTATGTAGACTGAAGATTATGTATATGGAAGGACGGGTAATTAGATGGACATTTTAATGATTGAACCATGTTCGAGTCGAGCACCATCATTTTCCATCATCAGAGGGGCTGTAATTGCCATGCTATGTTTTAGATTTCTAGCTATTTGTCTTAGTACTCCTTTCCGTCCCTCAATGTCCATACTCAGGTTGGTAAAGACCCCAAGTCTCGTGTATCTATATCATGAGAGTGAAGGGATTCCGGGAAGTTTTGTCCCGCAGTATTTGGGAGACTAAATACGAACAATTACCGCCTAATTATAAAGTTGATTGGACCAAAGCAACAGCGCATTTGAGGCTGGGTGAGGCCCACAACGTTGTAAACCATGACACGTGATCCCTATTTGTGCCTATTTCAACCTTCTTGGAAAGATGAGTTTCAAATGTACCTTCAATCCCCTTCTTTTTGCTCGAATTTTGGCATGTTTGTAGACATATTGTCTGTTTATATTTTGGCCTACCAAATTTTGGAAATTCTTCCTCAATCACAAGTTATTCATCATACAAAAAATTGCATTTTACCATATTGCTTTATAGTTCAATGATTGCTACATATGAACTCTTCAAACTTCGAAGGATTGCTATAATAGCATTGGACTACTTCTTCGCTTAGTTATTACATTGGTATAGCTATATATTATATGGAGCTTTGGCCTACTACATCCATTTTGGCTTCAGAGTCGCAGAATGTACCTTTCCTCTTTTCCAATTGGCTTCAAACTTTGCATGATTACTCTAGAGATATGAATGCAAATTTTGGCCTAGTGGATTTTTGAAATTCTTCCTGATGCACGAGAAATGCCCAAGACGATCCCGCACATTTTTTGATATTCCATAATCATCTATAAAAACCGCTTCAAATTGGGCTTCCATCCTGTGCAGGTATCTCAATATCATTATTGAGTAATAATTATGGCGATATTTAATACATGGTGTACTAGTCAAAAGGAATTGTTTTCGATGAGGAGTGACGGCCATTTTTTGGCAAGCACGTGATCATTATATTATCTCAGACATCTCCCTTCGTTTGCCGACCCCCACTATAAAGGATTGTTGATGCTTTCCAATGCATACACCATGTGAGGTGGTGAACGACTTGCAGAATTAAATGATCACAAGGACGTTCGATCAGCCTCGGCCCAGCGATGACTTCACCTTCGTCCAAATCCAGTGCCTGGGCACTTGCTCATAACTCTTTGCCCCTATGCCAGTACTGCGTTGATCTGCGTACTTGACTCCAGCCATGGGTCCTTCAAGCCATGCTTTTGGTGTGGTGTGCATGTGGGCCTGGTATCATCTTTCCCAGGGGCCCTCTGGGTTCCGCAGTCTCACAATTCTTGCAGTCAAGCAGAAAGCGTGCAGTCAGGGTGCTACAAGGCTTAGTTACTTTCCCCGTTATCTCAAAGCATGGGCACAAGACTTTTGATTCTGGGGTCCAGGATAACCGAATAAGTGTCCTGGGCACGACGTGAGCCGTAGCACTCAATCGCTGGTGGTGATGCATTCATGGCGCATGGCTCCACGGGACCCACAGAGAAGCGTTTATTGTGCAATTCTGTTTTTTGAGACGCATCCTTGAACGTGAAGGTCGTATCTCAACAACGGAGTTACCAAGATCCAAGAAAGCACCACCCATGGAATCTCCGTGGTGTAACTGGTTATAGTCCACTGTGCTGTATGGCATACGGATCGAACGAACGATAATCTTTCATGCACCCAGAACCCGAGAACAAACTCAGAGGTGCAATCCGGAGCGTGCATTAAAACATTGAGCCGCCGATGCTCCCTTGAATGGCTGGCACTCGCTCAGGGGAAGGTGCCTTCCATATCATGACTTATCATGACTATCGAGTGCATATCAGGGCTGTGCTTCTGCATATCAAAGAAAGAGGCGACCCCGAGGTGACCGACAGAAGAGTTACAGGAGGGAAGGATAAGACACTGGACCTAAACCTGCCCAACAGAGACGGTATTTCTGCAGTTGTTCAAGTCCCCCCGTGAGGACAACGTCACGACAGCAACAATATTGTTGCGTAAATACTTCCGGAGAAACATAGTTCAAGTATCCCACTGTACCATGACAACTTCTTCCACAAAACCATTCTCAGCATCTGACCAGACATCATTCGCACCCTTCCGCCGACAGCAATCCGAAATGCACGAGAAAACCATGCAGGTGCCCCATTCCATGTCTTCTTTCGCATCTGAGTTAGTTTCGTCCCCAACTCTGCTCGCAGGGCCTTTAAGGAGACGTGCAAGTTCAGACTTTCGTTCCTCAGCCGACAAAGTCTTTTTCGCTGGTTGCGAAGCTGCTCGTACCACATTAATGAGGTTGGGCATTAATTGGCATTCGAAAACGCGCGGACCACCGCAAGCATCGCATGGACGGATAACACTTGGTTCGTACACGCGTTTCCCAGCGACTTCATCTGCATTTGCAGCCAATATGGCACCCGAACCAGTTATGACTGTACCCTCGCGGGGAGCAGATGATCGAGAACCAACTGGCGGGAATAGTGATTTGTAGACAGACTCGCTTGAGAATGGGAGAGGTATGCCGGAAAGCTCGTATCTTCGCAGTAGCTAGTCGGCAGAAGCAGACCTCGGAGGACTTAATACACACCTGAGACACTGCTGAGGCTCCTCGCTGACGATTGCAGTGAACTTCTCAAACATGGGATCGATCTCTTTTGTTCGCTCATACCCTTCAGTGACCCATTGACCATCGTTATCCTGCCCTACCGAGGCTTTCGGCATGGAACGCGAGATTGCTGAGGGTGGTGCTATGTACTCCCCCACCGAGTCGAGATAAAACGGCAAATAGGAGGGCACAAGAGACCAATCACCCGAGTTATCATCAAGACTGATACCTGCAATTTGTCTGCTTAAACCAGTGCCATCATCTTCGTCTTCGTCTTCGGAGGCAGATGATGGGTCACCCGAAGACAGACCCTCATTGTCTTCAGCAGGTTCCGGCGCGAGCGGCGAAGGGCCATCGAATCCTCCTGCGAATAGTTGTGGGGCAAAGCCTCCTTTCTGGTTGAACTACCCATAACTGCTTGTGAGGGAGAGCGTAAAGGCATTGCTGGTGACTCACAGAAAAGGGATTGTTGGAGGACCTTGGAGTGGCGAGTTCGGCTTTACGCTTCTCCAACTTAGCTGCCAGCTTTGCGGCGTATTTCGAGTTATAACGCAAGGCTCTGCCAGCTTTGACACTTTGTGATCGACCTTCACAGTGAATTCGCCTTCACCTCAATGCCAACTATCCTTAATCTCACCTTCCGGGCTTCCGCTGACAGCGTCGCCTAGCACATCCCCAAACATACAAAACGCGATCGAATGCACTTCCCTCAAAAGGGCACCAAAGCTGAACGAGCAACTCCATGGGACTCGAGCATGAGTCACAGTGGGAGACTTTCAGAGGCGGAGCAGGTGTTCCAACAGGAAAGACCTTAATGTTTGGTGTCAGGATGTTGTGCGATATATTGGCGTTCCATACTCGGGGTAGGAAACAAAATGATAGATACAGGCTTGCCGCCAATGCGTGAAACCCTAATCTTTGATAGGTCCTTGTCAGACGTGATCGCTCCATCGGCGAGTCCTAAGAGAACTGAGGTTCTAATGTCATGAGCATCAGATTCATCCGAGTCAGAGTATTCGTCCAAAGGCATGATGATACGTCACTGCGAAATCAGCAATGTTAGCACACGTTAAAAAGGGGAGGTGACACGAGGGAGAAAAAATCAGAAATGCATGAATGGTAAATTTAAAACTCGTCACCGTTCCCACCCCTCGGAAACCGAAGGGCGAGATCTCGGACTCGTCATCTAAAATTCATCATGGATGTGCATGGATTTTGGAGTTGGTGCTTACCAGGGGGAAGAGATTGGGCAGAAACAAGTTCCGTGATAACAACTGCACTAATATATTAGCACTTCGGCGTTTCCCGCGTCCCTGATTCAATTCACCTTGACTGCACGGCTTCGTGGCAAAAATTCACAATATAGTGCCTAGTCGTTTCCAAAGTAACTACGCCTCTGCGCACTGCACAATGACGAGCGCCGTTGGCCTCACAAGCCCATCCCTCTCTTCGTCTGAAATTCCCAGCACCATGTCGAGACGAGCCCTGAGCCTTCGTCCTCCAACAGTAGCATCCGCACAGAACCACAATGGTCCTATATTCGCTATTTACGAAAGTAGAGGTAAAATAACGCGTTTTGTCCCGCGTTCATGCAGCCTGACTTCGCCTTGAGGGATGGGGCGGGACGTCGGGATCGCGTCTCTCGATCGTTTCAGCTGTCGTGTGACTTTGGTTCAAGTAAGCGAATCTCTTGCGTGTGCACATTTGTGGGATCCAATGTGCACCTCGAAGATCTCAGATGTGCCAACATACGTCAAGACACTTGGTCATCTCCACATTCATAGCCCCAGTATCATCCTAGTGCTGGATACTTCTTTTCCATCCGAAAATAGCACCAAAAAGCCTAGCGCCTTGGTACAATGCATGCAAGAAGATTTTACCGAGGTCTCGATTGAATGCGTCGCACGGAGGTATTGGAATGACACGGCAGGTACGTGGATGGAGCATTAGCACTCAATGGAACCGTCCCACACCATTAACTTAAAGGTTTGGAGTTCATCTCTCAACTGATCCTGGATGACGAGAACCGTGCTTCAACCCTTTTGACGGTCTCAGGCTGGTGGGCATCGCTACCTTTGTTCTGCGGGTGATGCACGACCTTCAACGCACAGCCAGTTCTTTCTCCTTGTGTGCAGCCTCTGCCCTTTTCAAATATGCTCAAACTAGACTGCATGCTACATACCCACCCAAATCACTCTGGATCGAGTGCCCACTGGTAGAAGGTCGGTTGATCGTTAGAGTACAGCAAATTGGTGAACATAATGTTTCGAAGGAACCATGCTCATTGACAGGGATACTGCCAAGAATCTCGAACTCGTGAGCAATGCTACTCACAAGAAGTCAAAGCATTCTCTGTTTGGGTGCGTCTAAACCAATCCGGGAAGCTATTGTATCTAATTCCCCTCAGCAGACTTTTGAATCACACCTTCACCCCTATGGGCGGCCGATTCCTGCGAATAAATCTCCTGGCGCCACCCACGAGTGCGTCGTCAGCGTCGCCGTTCAAGCAACCAGCTAACCTATTTTACAGTTCGTCCCAACATTGAGGCGCGTCTAGAGGCGGTAAACGGTCGGTAGCTTGCCATCATCCGTTCACATTTATCATTGCGGTTCTAGAGCTAGTCAAATCCGAAGACATATACCATTCTGTCAAAGCAGCCCTTCGATCAATGTCTAAAATGGACCTAGATAAACTCATTTCAGCTGTAAGCTTTACTAAAATGTTCGCACCTCGAGGAGCTCTAAAGGTTTGATCAGATCATCACTAATACGACCGATCAACCCAGCATTAGTCCTCGGGAGGCTTCAACGCACGTCACAAATATGTTACAATTGCGAGATGTAGTGTGCTGCATACCCCCGGTCGCTCAAGCGCTTGCTAGCTGCCATGCAAATCTTCTTCGCGTTGTTCAAGGCCTGCTCTGCGATTCTCGCCTAGGTGACATCCGAGCGCTTTTGTTCGAAGGATTGAACGCAGATGCTGGCCTCAGCAAGGTAGATGTCGTTTTTCGGATATTCCCGTTGAGTTACCAACCTTTTCCCTAGAGAAGTGGTCTTGCTGGAGTCAACAGCAAAGTCTATGCAGTGAATGTCAATTTTAACAGAATGCTTGATGTCGCTAGGGAAACGTACAAGGAAAATGTGGATGACATCTTCGAATTAAGGGCCCAACTCAGCCAGGAACACAATTTGCCCCTTTCCATGGAGTATCAAGAGCGTGGAGGTGGCTTTTGGTTCACAATTGCAAAAGGCGACCTCGAAGGTGAGCTTCCAAGGGGCTTCCTTAATGTCACAACGAAAGGTGCCAAGTGGTGCTTCACTTCAATGGAACTTGTGGGTTGTATATCTTCTCTGCTGGCTAATTTTTAACATGACCCTACAGAAGAAGAGAAACGCAAGGATGAAGGATGCACTTGAGGAAGCACTGTTGCTCAGCGATAAGTGTGCACTGGGCGTTTGGTATCGGTGTTCAGCTCACCGAACCCGACGCAGGGTAATAAAAGAAATTTTGGAGAAAGTCGTGGAAAATATAGGGGTATTCTACAAAGCCTCAGAAGCGGTGAGCTGGACCATCAATGTACTTGATCCCTTGATCAAATGAGCATTTCCTCAAGATCGCCACACTTGATATGCTGTGGTCGTTTGCTCACATTTCCATTCGTAAGACGCTTTGCGTAAACGAGGTGCAGATGCTGATATCATCCTTTACTTCTTCAAGTGCACAATTACGGTGAAGTCGCCATGAGTTGGTTATCGTGCACCCATGGGTCTAACAATTAACAGTCCGTCCCGAATTCACTGGGACTGTATGTCTGATTCCTGCGTTTATTTACTGAATGCTGATTCCGCACAACAGCTCGCCATCAAGGCTGGTAGACACCCGATTCTGGAGAACATCGGGGCCGTGGGGACCTTTGTTGCCAATGACACCTACTGCGATGATGCTGCAACGTTTCAAATGGTTCAGGGACCCAAGTGAGTTTCCATTATTCAATCTCATAGATTGCCGGAACTTAGTGTACCAACAGCATGTCAGGTATTGCAGCAGAGTCCCTTTCTTCACTATGACTTTTAATCGTATTGTAGGCAAAAGCACATATTTGCGCCAATTGGCTCTACTGACGATCCTTGCTACTTGCGGGTGCTTGTAAGCAAGACTTCTGGGACCTTGGGTTTCTTGACCAAGGGTTACTTCTAAGTGTACCTGCAGAGTATGCGAGCTTTAGGTAGGTGAGCCTCGTAAGTGTTTTATATGGTGTTTCTAGATCTGTGAACGTAAGGTTACATGACACACTCTTAACTCGCTTGTCCAACAACGATGACCCAGAGAAGAACTTGAGTACTTTCTCGAATGAGATGGCATGCTCAGCTATGATTCTAGGTGTGAAATGATTGCACTGCCCACCTCTGGCATTTGTTGAACGGTGGCAGGTCTTGCGACAAGGGACTCGTTGATACTTATAGATGAACTGGGTCGGGGAACCTCGCCCATTGAAGGTATTGGGATCGCCCACGCCATTGCGGAGCAACTCATTGATCTCAAGGTGTGTATCACGCTTCAATAACTCTTCAACTCCCGCATTCCCCATAGGCTTTCACTTTCTTCGCAACGTCAGCCATTACCAGTTCTGGAGCGCCACTATGGATCTTGACTTTGGGATCTCTTTTCAGACACTTCCATGACTTGTCTGTCACGCTCAGCCGCCGCTCTTCGGTTGTTAAGTTCGTTAGGTCGCCTCTAAACATTCACTTTCTAAGGAGGTCTACTAGTCTTCACTTAGCTGTTCAAGTGTGTGGGCGCCACCTCAGCCGTACCGTTGATTCGTATTGTTTGTCCGTAGAAAAACTCTCGGGACACTTCGGGATTTGGACTACAATTTCAATATCGGTATGAGCATGCCGAATTGCAGCTGAGCTTTTCATTCTGATCTCAATCTGACCCCAGAATTATTGATGGTCGTGCGGACGAAATACCTCATTATGGTGACTATCTCAGAGTCGATCACGGTTTCTCATCCTCTACCCATTGCATGATCAGGCTTAGAACTCGCTCAGCTGGCTGATCTGCCTAAGGAGGTGCTGCAATTTGCTGAGAAGGCGGCTCACCATCTAGCCAATCTAGACGCGGCAAAAAAGGAAGCGAGCAAGACGACGAGGATAGTTGCAAGGAGGAAAGCAATACTAAGAGTACGTAATTCGTCGGCTTACCATCCGAGCTGGCCGGAGACTCAAAGACTAAGCTGGTTGCACTTGGTGCTTTGGTCTCTTGCTCGGCGCTCATTGCTGATATCCATCTCTACCGTCATCGCCTCGTCTCCCATCACCGCGCTACATTCCTTTGACTTGTATCTCGCATCCCAATTATCTTCCGCTGGCTCTCGACTACCTCGTTTCTGCGCAACGAACGGACTTGCTTCTCTTATCACACTAGCTTCGTGTCCAGCTCCAACAAGCTTATGACCACTCAACTCTTCCACCACGCGAACTTAAGGGGTACCTGAAAAGGCTGCAGAATGAAGTCATTGAGGCACTAGGGAAAGATTTGATGAACAAGGAAGACGAGGTCGATAGCAGTGAGGGAAGTGAGAAGGCTGGAAACGAATATGCTGGAGGTATTGAAGAGATGGACGAGTTGGAGGACGAGTAGATTCAACCGAGTTCAACGTTGTCCTTAGATTCTGACATTTGAAACAAACGGGGTTTTGTGTGTACATCAAGTTACAGTGTGGTAAAGTGCATATTAATTTACAGAACCTTATACACAAGCAGAAATTTGTAAGCAAGCAAACAGCAAATTCGTGAGTTTGATCAAAACTTTCAAGGCTGAGATTATGCTTCAAAGAGCAGCACCTCCGCATTCACATCGCCCATATTTACCAGGACGATCCCTTCACCTTCAGTTCCGGAGCCAACAGCGAATAGCCCATCTCCCTCACCAAGCACAACGCCTCCATTGACTTCAACTTTCGCGACACCTTTCTGAATCTCGGGTGTGGGTTTGGTGCTATAGCCACTCGTCTGGATGACGTGGATGTAGACATTGCGTGTCACAGAAGGAGACGGAGCAAAGGAGTAGGTTACTTTCCCGTTGGAGTCAGGAGTGAGGATCGAGGCGTAAAGTGCGAAATTTTGATGGATCGGGGCCGGACTCGAGTCAGGAACGTCCTCGTGTTTTGCTTCTTCAGCGCCGGAAGGGATAGGCGCGACGATTTTGAGCAGGTTGTTCGTCTTGGCGGCATCGGTGAAGTGTCTGGTATAGTAAGAGGGCTTGAGACGGAACGTCGAAGGCGTTACCCATATTTGAAGGAAGTGAACGACTTGGGAAGTGTTGCGATTGAATTCTGAGTGGGTAATCCCCGTGCCTGCTGACGTCATTTGGACATCACCACGTTTGAGGATTTCGACGTTGCCCATCGAGTCTTTACTATTTAAGAAGTCATTAGTGAGCTAACAAACGGAGAGGGTTATGAGTGCGACTCACTGCTCGAGTTCGCCCGAGACGATGTAGGAGAAGATTTCCATCTCGCGATGGGGATGCTTCCCGAAGCCACTCGAGGGATCAACACGATCTTCGTTAATTACCCGTAGGTTACCAAATTGATCATAATCGGGGTGATAGTACCTGTAAGTGATTATAAGAGCACCGATTAGCGTGTATAAATTTCGAATGTCACTCGGTCAACGCACGAAGCGAAGTTGAATGTGTGGAACGTCTTGAGCCAACCGTGATCGGCATGGCCCCGCTCTTGAGAAAGGCGAACGGCGAACTTGACATTTGGATGCAAGGGCGAGGGAATTGTCGAAAAAGCAGTGCTGGCCATTGCGCGTTTTAGAATTGCAGAATGAAGTAGGGTGCGAATATTGTTCGATCTCGATGGTTGAGTTGTCACTGAAAGCAAAATGCAGGTGTTGGTATTTATACCCAGGAGAGAGCAGGCAAATGACTGATGTGAATTATGAGTTTGTCATCGGAGTGCCACTGTAGTTGACCAATTGATTTGTTCCACAGACCCATTACGTAAGCAGGAAGGCCTTTGACTTATGTATGATGAGTCAGTTTTAGTCCACTCTGATCTGGGATAGCGTGAAGGTCGTGACGTAAGCAGACTTTTTGCTGATGTTTCGCCCCATCCTGATGTGAGAGGGTGACAGGAGGCGACGAGCCCGAACGAGTCTGAACAAACAAGAAGAAAGGTTCTAGTAATTGCGAAGAGCTGAGGTGATTCATGGTCACGGGCCTAATTTCGACTTGTAGCTTGCCACCGATGGGGCTGATAGGGAGAGTCGCTGATAAGATCATTCCCCTCATCCTTTTCATTTATATTGGGTGGGGATACTATCTTGTGACGTTTGAAATCGGTTGTGCGCGCTCCGTTAGTCTCTTTTCGAACCTAAACTGACTACGTTGCGCGTATCGTGGTGTATTGTGTTACTCACAGATGGCTGGCTCTACCGGATAAACCATAGACCTTTCTTCGCCTGTGAGTAACCACTTAGGGCGAGGCAGGATGCCATCATCTTAATGTTCAACCGTTACATATGAATCGAAGCGCTCTATGTTCTTGTAACGAACACTTTAATCATCAGTACCAGTCGGTTATTCATCAGGCTTTGTTCCTTTCCCAAAACAAGGGATACGCCTCCCAGACTAACGTCTTTACAACTACATCAAAACGTATCCTCGGATGGCATCTACGCTTTGGACCAGCCTATCAACCTTGTGCCGCCCTCGGCGCTAATATCTGTGTCTCAGATCTTATCACAAAATGCTCCCTACGAATGCTTCAACTCATCTGGCACCTTGCCACGGTGCTGGAATGATGCATGCACAGGCCAGTACAAACCTCCCAGAGCGCACCATTGCAGCGTCTGTGGAGTTTGCAAGATGGGGTGGGATCACCATGTGAGTCTTCCCTTCACCATGGCATACAGAGACCGGGCGCTGACGGCGATAAGGTACCAGTGTCCTTCGGTGAGCGTTCCCTGCATCTCGCTGCATTTCTCCACAAACTCACTATTTTTGTTCCAACACACCGACAGATAGGCAATTGTATCTCCTACTCTGTTCTCCGCTCATTTCTCACCATCCTGTTGCTAATTCCTCCTACTGCACTGGTCGCAATTCCCCTATTATCCACCTTCAAATATCCTACGCCCGTTCTGCCTATAAGGCATCCATAAATTCTGAGGGGGCGAGAAGGGAATGGTTTGGATGGTGGGGTAGTTGGATTGTTGCAGGGGGCCCTGTCGGCAGATGGGTTTGGGGGGCTATGTGGTGGGGGTACAAGGAACTAGGTGGGGAAATTGCAAAGGAAGGAAGGGAAGTGTTAGGGTGTGGAAGACTGATTGCTGAACCGAGGAGAAGGGTTCTCATCACTTGTGCTGGAGCATTATTTTTGGCATTGACTACTGCGGTACGTGAGTGCCAGCACAATGGAAGACATAGGATTTTAAGTATGGTTCCTTGACTCACCAATTTTCAAGGCTCTGGGCGCTCAAATGATCCTCAACATTCTTCGAGGAGAGACGACTCTTGACGTGCGCAAGAGGCGAAGTTGGGCAAGAGACATGGCAGCTTCATCATCAAAGCCTTTTAAAGCTCAACGTGTCTATTCCCGCATGCCCAGTGTTGCGAGCAAACCTGAGGTCCCACCGTCGGGGCTGTTGGATAATAGCGATTCATCCCCCATCGAACATCCTGATGCCACTTCCCATAAAGCCAGCCACGAGGTAGCGCCACCGCAAACTGTGTCATCACCAAAGAATCGACCTCGCGAATTTGGGATGGTGTATATCCCCCGTAGATGGGTCGAGCTACATTCCGATCACACTTCCAGTTCTGGGATTCAAATCGGAAGTGGAGATGCGAACTCAGTAACGCTGACTCGTGCGTCATCCAGCCATGATGTCTCGGGATGGGTTGTTCTTGCACTTCCCCAGGAGCGAATGTACGACTTGGGATGGAGAAGGAACTGGAGAGTGTTTTGGCGTGGGACTCTCGAGGAGAGTTGGGAAATGAGTCCAACTCTGTTGAGGAGAATGAAGGATGAAGTGAAGAGATATGAGACAGGGAACACATAAAAAAGTTTTATGACAGACTGGAATTTTTGACGGAAGTGATGTTCTTCTATGTTGTCGTCCTCACACGATTTGTGGTGGTGCACCAAACCGCTAGGAAATGTTCACGATGCTGCATCAGTGTGAAGTGCTCGCTGCTGCTGGTATCGAAAGCTGGGGTGAACGACCAACAATTCAAGCAACATCTAGGCGCTCAAGGGTCTCAATTTATTTCAGTTCACGGGAACTCCCGCCATATTCACCGCTGGAAGAAATACGTGTTGCTAACGAGAATCAACCCAACCCCCCCCACCCCCAAACCCAAACGTGGTGAACGTAGACACATTTCACAATGGATGTCTCGAGACCCATTGCATTCGCCGAACACCTCCAACTAACAGCACTTGGCATTCAGCCGGCGTCCATTAGTTTTCAAGTCAGTAGCTGTTCAATTTTTGCAAAATTTCCTTCATTTTGTTTGGACTTTTGGAGTATCAGTAGATACTGACTTCACGCGGCGTTGCAACCGGCTTCTTCCTTGGGTAGAATCTGACTCTTGAGTCTGACCACTTTATCTGTGTGCGAGAGAAAGTGGGAGAACAGGGACAAGTTGTTATCATCGACCTTGCTGACGCCAACAATGTCATGCGACGACCTATCACGGCTGAGTCGGCCATTATGCACCCCAAACAGAAAATAATTGCACTGAAAGGTTCGTACTCGCTCTTTCTGTCATTGTACAATTTTCACAGACATTCATCAAATTTTTGGCACTTCGTTGCTGTGCATTTTCATTCACATTCAGCACAACGTCAATTGCAAATTTTCAACATTGAGACAAAGTCCAAGGTCAAATCTCACCTAGCCACGGAAGATATTGTCTTTTGGAAGTGGGTTTCGGACACAACAATAGGTCTCGTTACTGAGACTTCGGTCCTCCACTGGTCCATTTCGGACGCGACCTCAGCACCCGTCAAGATTTTTGACCGTCACGCATCACTTGCTGGCTCCCAAATCATCAACTACCGTGTATCTGCTGATGACAAGTGGTGTGTTCTCATTGGTATTTCACCGAACTCGGCGGATCCGCAAATTTTCAAAGTCAAGGGCTCGATGCAGCTGTTTAGCCGAGACCGTGGCGTCAGCCAGCCGATAGATGGACATGCTGGTACCTTCGCTGAGATAAAGTTGGACGGTGCTCCGGCTCCTTACAAGCTGTTTACCTTTTCTGTTCGCACTCCGACAGGTGCTAAGGTATTGATACCTCATTAATTTCCTTCAGAATCAACCATCTTACACTACACCTTCAGCTTCAAATTGCTGAAATTGATCACCAAGCTGCAAACCCTGTCTTTACCAAGAAGGCTGTTGAGGTTTTCTTCCCTCCAGAAGCCCAGAACGACTTCCCTGTTGCCATGCAAGTATCCAAGAAGCATGGTATCATTTTCCTTGTCACCAAATACGGTTTCATTCACCTATATGATCTCGAAACTGGCACATGCGTCTACATGAACCGTATCAGCGGCGAAACTGTCTTCGTTACTGCAGAACATGAGGCCACTAACGGTATTATCGGGGTTAATAAGAAGGGCCAGGTGTTGAGTGTGAGCGTTGACGAGCAGACCGTCATCCCTTACATTCTTACCGTTCTGAACAACACCGAGCTGGCGGTCAAATTAGCTAGCCGGGCAAATTTACCTGGTGCTGACGAGCTGTACGTTAAGCAGTATCAGCAGCTTTTCGCTTCCGGCCAATATAGTGAAGCTGCCAAGATTGCGGCCAACTCGCCAAGAGTGAGCGATAATTCGACACTCTTATGTTGTCACGCGCTGACAATTGCTCTCAGGGCATTCTTCGTACACCGCAAACCATAGAGCAATTCAAGCAAGTTCCTGTTCAACCAGGCACTCTTTCGCCCATACTTCAGTATTTTGGTATTTTACTCGAGAAGGGTGAGCTTAACAAGCATGAGTCACTTGAATTGGCGCGCCCTGTTCTTGCCCAGGGCCGTAAGCAACTGCTTGAGAAATGGCTCAAAGAGAATAAGGTAACAACTCCTCATCCAGCGTGAGCATAGAGGTTGACCACATAAATTGCTCCAGCTTGAATGCACAGAAGAACTTGGCGACATTGTTCGCTTACACGACATGACCCTCGCTCTCTCGGTATATCTTCGCGCCAACGTCCCCAATAAGGTCGTCGCATGCTTCGCCGAGACGGGCCAATACGACAAGATTCTATTGTACGCGAAGAAAGTCGGCTACCACCCTGATTATGCCGCGCTTCTTCAGCACATTATGCGAGCGAACCCTGAGAAGGGTGCCGAGTTTGCAGCCCAGCTCGTAAACGATGAGAATGGGCCCCTTGTAGATATCGAACGCGTCGTAGACATCTTCATGTCACAGAACCTTATTCAACCCGCCACGTCCTTCCTCCTCGACGCCCTCAAAGATAATAAGCCTGAGCAGGGTCATCTTCAGACTCGTCTCCTCGAGATGAATTTAGTTCATGCTCCACAGGTGGCGGATGCTATTCTCGGAAATGAGATGCTCAGCCATTACGACCGACCACGTATTGCCAACTTGTGCGAGAAGGCCGGCTTATTGCAGCGTGTATGCGATTCTCAAAGTTGGACTATTTTTCACTGATCAAGATTCCGCAGGCTCTCGAACATTACGAGGATCTGGCCGATATCAAGCGTGTCATCGTTCACGCTAAGATTCTCAGTTCGGATGTATGTCATCTCTTTTTCTGTATGATCTAGCTGTTGACTCCATCCTCAGTGGGTTGTCAATTACTTTAGTCGACTCACCACCGATCAGTCGTTTGCTTGTATGAACGAGATGCTTCGGATCAATATGCGCGAAAACCTTCAGGTGGTGGTTCAGATCGCAACCAAGTATTCCGACATTCTTGGTCCAGTCAAACTCATCGAGTTATTCGAGTCGTATAAGAGCTTCGAGGGGCTATATTACTACCTTGGCTCGGTCGTAAATCTCAGTCAAGACTCCGAGGTTCACTTCAAGTACATCCAGGCCGCTACTCGGACGGGCCAGATCCGCGAGGTTGAACGGATCTGCCGTGAGAGCAATTACTACAATCCAGAAAAAGTCAAGAATTTCCTCAAGGAGGCGAAACTTTCCGATCAACTCCCACTTATCATCGTCTGCGATCGCTTCGACTTTGTGCACGATCTTGTTCTTTATCTTTATCAAAATGGATTGGTCAAGTTTATCGAGGTTTATGTTCAGCGCGTCAACGCGGCCCGCACGCCTCAGGTTGTGGGTGGCCTCCTGGACGTTGACTGCGACGAAGCAACTATCAAAAGCCTTCTCGCCTCCGTTATCGGGATTTTCCCCATCGATGAGCTCGTCGAGGAAGTTGAGAAACGTAATCGCCTCAAGCTTATTCAGCCTTGGGTTGAGTCGCGCATCGCCAGTGGACAACAAGATCCGCCGCTGTACAACGCGTTAGCGAAGATTTATATCGACAGCAACAACAACCCCGAAGCTTTCCTTAAGGAAAATAATGTGCGTGCTTGATGTCTTGATTACCTTCTTGCGCACTCACCAAGGAAATCCAGTTATACGAGCCCTTGGTTGTTGGTAAATACTGCGAGGCCCGTGATCCGTACCTTGCGTACATCGCCTATGCAAAAGGCTTCTGTGATGAGGAGCTCATCGGCATCACGAATGCTAATTCCATGTTCAAACATCAAGCTCGCTACTTGGTGAAGCGTTGTCGTCTCGAGCTTTGGGCTCAGGTACTCGTCCCCAGCAATGACCATCGTCGTCAGCTCATTGACCAGGTCCGTCATATCCGGTGCATCTGTTGATAAGTATTTAACACGCTCTTGAATCAAGGTTACCGCTGTCGCCATCCCCGAGGCCACTGATCCGGATGATGTGTCGGCGACTGTCAAGGCGTTCATGGCCGCCGATCTTCCCATCGAACTGATCGAGATGCTGGAGAAGATCGTCATTGAATCCTCACCTTTCAGCGAAAACAAGAACCTCCAAAATCTTTTACTCCTCACTGCCATCCGCTCCCATAGGGCTAAGGTGGATGGCTACATCCACAAACTCGCCAACTACGACCACTTGGATATCGCCCGCATTGCGACTGACAATGGTTTATACGAAGAAGCGTTTACCATTTATAAGAAGTATAATGAACATGCCCTGGCTATGAACATATTGGTAGAACATATCGTCAGTCTTGAGCGGGGGTAGATTATGCCAACAAGGTTGACCAACCTGCTGTCTGGGCGCGGCTCGCCAAGGCTCAGCTCGATGGATTGCGCATCAAGGATTCGATTGGTAAGTAGAAATCGTCCCCAGAATGCGATTTGTGCTTATCCGTGCGTCTGTCAGACTCGTACATCAAGGCTGGCGATCCCTCCAACTTCCTTGAGGTAATTGAGATCGCCAATCGTGCTGGCAAGCAAGACGACCTCGTCCGCTATCTCCAAATGGCGCGCAAAACTCTTCGTGAACCGAAGCTCGACACCGAGTTGGCGTATGCATATGCCAAGACGGATCGTCTCCATGACATGGAAGATTTCCTTGGCATGACGAATGTGGCCGACATTTTGGATGTCGGAGAGAAATGCTTCAACGATGAGCTTTACCAAGCTGCGAAATTATTGTTCAGCAGCATTTCGAACTGGGCTCGTTTGGCGACAACACTCATATATCTCGGTGAGTATCAGGCGGCAGTTGAAAGTGCTCGCAAGGCTGGCAACACAGAGTGAGTCACGTCAATACATATATCCTGTTTGGCTGTTAATTGTCGTCACAGGGTGTGGAAGCAAGTTCACAGAGCTTGTGTTGAGAAGACTGAGTTCCGTTTGGTATGCCAAAAAGCTTTGGTGTAGAGATTTTATACAAACTATACGTTGATAGGCACAAATTTGTGGCCTGAACATCATCGTGCACGCCGTACGTATTCTCGATCAACTTGTCAGAGGCATCGTTGCTCATCTGCCTACCATATCAGGAGGAATTGTCTGCTGTCCTGAAGCTCTACGAACATAATGGATATTTCAACGAAGTCCTGTCGCTGCTTGAAGGTGGTCTCAGTCTCGAGAGAGCACATGTATGATTTACTCGTTCACTCAATGGCTCCAATGCTGATATCTTGGATAGATGGGTATTTTCACAGAGCTAGCCATCCTATATTCTAAATATCGCCCAGAGAAATGTAGGTGTGGAGACTCGCCCGGATGGACGATTTACTCATAGCCTTGGCCAGTGATGGAGCATCTCAAACTCTTTGCCTCTCGGATCAACATCCCCAAGGTGAGCATCAATCATGGATTCTAATCGCATCTGATCCCTGAGAGCATTTCAAAGGCGATCAAGGCTGCGGAGAAAGCCCATTTGTGGCCCGAACTTGTGTTTTTATACGTCAAATATGATGAATTCGTGAGTGGAAACCCTCTACCCCACAACGTCTACTGCAACTATAATCATTTGCCGTAGGATAACGCTTGTTTGTCAATGATGGAGCGTGCAGCGGATGCTTGGGAACATAACCAGTTCAAAGAAGTCATCGTCAAAGTTGCAAACATCGAAATGTACGTGTTTCTTTGCAAAGTGCAATCGTAGTCATGATGCTGACCACGAACTTCTCTAGTTACTACCGCGTTAGTCAATGTACTTGTCCCATTCAGTCTCTCTACTGACGAGGTTTCCAGGCTCTCTCCTTTTATCTCGGAGAGCAACCCATGTTGCTCAATGACCTCCTCGGCGTTCTGATCCCTCGAATTGACCATTCCCGTGTTGTCCGCATGTTCAGCACCAAGGAGAATGACAATCTTCCCCTCATCAAGCCTTACCTTATCTCCATTCAACACGTGAGTCGTTATACCGTGATACAGACGGTCCCTAATAAAAGGTTTTGCCATAAAGCTGAACATTGAAGCCGTCAATGAAGCCTACAACAACGTGCTGATAGAAGAGGAAGATTACGACACTCTCCGTGATTCGATAGACAGCTTTGACCGTTATGATTCCGTCGCCCTTGCTAAGAGGCTAGAGCAGCACGAGCTACTCGAGTTCAGAAGACTGGCGGCACATCTTTATAAGGTGATGGAGTTATGTTGGTCATGGCCAGTACTTCCGCTGATATGACACGCTTATAGAAAAACAAGCGATGGGATATATCGATTACATCGTCGAAGCAGGACAAACTTTTCAAAGATGCCATTATCACCGCAGCTGCGTCGGGCTCAACCGAGGTCGCCGAGGATCTATTGTCATATTTCGTTGACATCGGAAACAAGGAGTGCTTTGCCGCTATGCTTTACGTCTGCTTCAATTTGTTACGTCCTGACGTCGTTATGGACCTATCTTGGCAACATGGCCTCAACGACTTTTATATGCCCTATAAGGTTCAATCCGAACGTACCCTAAATGAGAAGGTCAGATACAGTCGTTTCTCCCAGATTGTCCTTCAAACTTAATGCTGCATTCACAGATAACTCAGCTCGAAAGAGAGGTCAAGGAGCGGACCAAGAGGGAAACCCAGAAGGAACAAGCGGAAGCTGAGATGCCGATAATTGCTCCTGGCGGGATTCTACGGATCACACAAGGTGGCGAGTTTGGCTCCAGTCTTGGTGCAGGTGTGACCCCTCTGTACGCTAACGGAACAGGGTTACCCTCACTCCCCACTGTATGTTTCATGATGACCTGTGCAGCACTTTAATTCTGACGTTGACTGATAGGGCTTCGGTTTCTAATTTCGATTATCTTTAACATTTCTCTTCCAGACTTGCATTTTACACTATCCCCCTTCATCATTTGCATGTAATATTCATACATTTACCGGGCCAAGTCTATGCTAGTGTACCCGTTTCACGTTTCTGTACTCCCAGCTTTGCCCTTACGTTTCATTTCTCATCGTCTGGAAGGATCAGAGAGACCAGCATTGTCAATCACCTCGATCTCCTCCTGAGTCAGGGCAGCTGCGCATTGGGTTTAGTGGCTGGGGTCTGAGCAGTGAGTCGGGGAATCTACTCACGAAGGTCGCCAGCTGCTAGGTACTCCTCGATTCGTTCTTGCTTCGATGTGGTCCTGTGAACGGGAGGTTGGAAATCATACACTTCGGGAAGCGTTGCACATTGCACCTACGTGACAATAACAGCATCCTTCGCCTTCACCCACTGAAACAAGACTTGCGTTGGCGTCGCTTTGAGCCTTTCGGAGGGACCCTCTAGGGCCTTGGTGACTGGTCCATTGGGCCTTCTCGTAATCGGGTATAGCGAGCAATAAGCTTCTATGACAATGTTGTGCGTGGCTGCATACGCTACTACGGGCGCCTCGTAAGCGAGATTGTATGGATGAAACTCTATCTATCAACACATTTGTGAGATTTCCATAATGGGATTTAGGGTTGTGCGCACTTGGTTAACAGCAGGTACAGTTGTGGAGGACGCCGCTATCACTTGGAGGTGAGAGACTGTAGCGTTCGAGACGCCGATGGACTTCGTGAGCCCAAGCCTCTTAGCCTCTTCCAACTCTTTCCAGGCTCCTACAACGTCAGGGATGTTTGACGGGTGGTGAATGAGATAGAGGTCTACATAGTTGAGACGGAGCTAATAATTGAAACGACGTCCCTGTTTAGGCTATGAAGTGGAAGTGATACGGCTTGAGAACCTGCCCACCTTCCTGAGGGATTCTTTAAGCCCATCCAACGGGGGACCTGTTTCGACCTTCGTGGTGATATACAATTTCTCTCTGGGTATCTTGGCTTTCGCCAAAGCTCTGCCTACAGATTCCTCGTTCCCATACACCTGTTTCATGCAGGCTCAGAAAAATCCGTGATGTTCGTGGAGAGTAGACGAACTTGAGCCGCATCAATGTGATAGATTCCATTGTTAAGAGCGAGCAGAACAGCCTCCTCAGCATCACGCCTGAATAAAGCTGTTCCTGTTCCTAAGACCAATCGAAGAATTGATTTCATTGTGAGTCAAATGTATGGAAGTACCGCAGGGTCGAATCGGATGCTCGATCCTTACCTACCGCAAGCTGTGGGACCTAGAATGATGTCCACCTTATCAGCTGCGATCATCGCCTAGCAATCCGAGAACTGAGTATACCTTAGTCCCGTCGTTCAGTGGGAGGGTAGAGAATGGCATTTCTGTGGCGGTTGTCCTCTGACAGATGAAGGTGAGCTGAGCCTATTTCTGTAATGTGACTAGCACAAAACGCCGTGGATCTTCCTAATACACCGACGCTAAACATTCTCTCTCAATTTGACTTATTAATCTCAGTTTAATCCCATTTCACGTGACTAATCAGGTGGATCCGCGCGCGCCTCAGAGGAGGCTGTCTTGTTCTGCACTGTCGCAGTGCGGATGGAACAAGACGGACGAAACCCTCCTCCGGGCCCAAACTTGGTCTCAGACCAGCTGCGGGAAGAGACAAGTTGCATCCGGGAGCGAGATAAATAGCGCACCTTATCCACTCCCCACCTGCCTGCGCAATCGTACTACAACGTCTAATGTTGAAATCTTGGTTTTCTTGGGAGTTATAGTGCGCTGTGGCCAACTCACAATGTGATGTTGAGCTAGCGGCGCTATATTTCCTTTCTTGGTATTCCTGCTACCAAAGTCAGTGCGCCATTGAGGCGACTGCTTATAAAAGCAGTGAACAATTTTTCACTTTCGTTTCCCTCAGTTCAACAACGATTGACTGAGGTGAGACTGCGCTTTTACCACACATTTATCTTGTCACTCATGTACCCTCATGTGCCCTAGCGTAAAACGCTAGGTAATTAGTTCCAATCTAATCAGTTCAACAACGATTGACTGAGCGTAAAACGCTAGCGTAAATCGCTAACATCCTAATAGGTTACGAGCCTAGTTCACTCAGAACTCACCCATGTCGCAGACTACCCCCTCCACTTCTCAGCCAGCCCCTGCCCCCACCACTACAGACAATACCCGTTTCCCCATAACTATTCTAGACGCCGATGGTAAAACTTACTCCAACTGGGCATCAAGGATGCGCGGTGTCTTGAAGATAAACCGGATCTGGGATGTCGTAGAAGATGTGTCAAAAGGCGGCACTGAAAGGCCCCCGGACACTGATCCGACCTTAGCTGACTGGCTCGACAAAGATGAGAGAGCGTTCACCTACTTGAGGTGCTATGTTAGCGACTCCTGCTTGTCCATGATGAGGAACAAACCTACTGCGCGTGCTGCCTGGAAAGCCCTCTCTGACCGATTTGTCGGAAAGGACGAACAAGACATGCACATGCTTCACTCTTCCCTCTTCCAATTTCACTTTGACGACTCTAAACCACTGGGTCCCCAATTCCAAGAAGTGGAAGACACGCGCCTCAAGGTCACCTCCTTAGGTCTCGAAATTGGAGACAAAAGCTACCTCTCTGCCCTCATCTCCGCCACCCCCGAATCCTACCACACCATCAAAAGCGTTGCCCTCATGCAAATGAAGAGGAACAACATCGATTCCGAAGGGTATATCGATTACGTCCTTTCGGAAGAGAAACTCCGTAATTCTGACCCAAAGACTATTGCCATGTTTGCTAACTCTGGCAAATCCAAACGCCGCAATGCAGGGAAGTCCAGTGGCTCCAAGTCTGACGCCGCCACCCCTAAATCGGTAGTCCGCTGCACTAACCCTAAATGCGGCAACTTGGGACATACGTTCGAACAATGTTGGTCGGAAGGTGGTGGGTCCGAGGGAAAGAAACCGAGGAGGCAGGGGAAACAAGGTCAGAGCTCAGGCGCTCCGAAAGAATCCGCGAAGACGGCAATAACATTTGTGGATGAGGAGAAAGCCTTGGTAACTGAAACGACGGAGGAAGTAGCAAACACACTCAACTTGCTAAACGCGGGGATTACTCCTGATCATCATGCTCGAACTGAGTGGGTGATTGACTCTGGTGCCACTTCTCACTTGTGTCGCAATCGCGACTGGTTTATATCCTATCGCCCTCTTGATGTCCCTAAAAAGGTCGTTTTGGGAGATAAGGATGTGATTTTAGCGCCGGGGATTGGACAGATAAGAGTAGAGTATGATGTCGGGAACTCACAGGAAACCCTCATAATCCGTAACGTCCTCTACTGCCCCAAAATTGCACACAACCTCCTTTCCGTTCTCCAACTAAACCAATCGGGTGCAGGTGCAGACTTCTGGGACCAAAAATGTCGAATTTTCGACTCCTCCAAGAAACTTGTCACCGTCGTGCCTGTGGAAAAGGGCCTCTACCGATGGCCAGTGAGAATCCCCTCCTTATCCACAGCCTTCATCACTTACCCCTATACCAACAACGCTAACGTCGCACGCACCATCACCGCTACTGCATCCCTCGACATCTGGCATGCCCGATTGGGGCACATCGCAAAAGATTCGATCTTGAGGATGATGCGGAGTGGAATGGTTAAGGGAATGGATGTTATAGGAGCAAACGACGCTGATCGATCAACTTACTGTCCCGAATGCGAAGCCGCATCTCATCACCGAAACCCCATTCCTTCCGAAACACAAACCCGCTCCGACCAAGTACTTGGTCGTGTATTCTCTGATGTTTGCGAACTGCAAACAGTATCGAGTGAAGGCTACAAATACTTCATTACTTTCGTCGATGACTTCAGTCGGTACCTCACCGTATATCATAAGTTAAAGATTCTCAGGACAGATGGCGGCGGCGAGTACTTCTCTTCCGATTTCTCCAACTATCTCAAATCCCTCGGCATCCTTCACGAAAAGACCAACCCTCGAACGCCTCAGGAAAACGGTGTAGCGGAAAGAGTCAACAGAACCCTTGTGTCAATGAGTGTCGCGATGCTGAAAAGCGTCGAATCCAAAATTGGACGTACCTCTTGGCCATACGCTATCCAACACGCCACGTTCGTAAAGAACGTTTCTCCTCATGCGGCGCTCCCCAACGACATCTCCCCCCACGAAAGGTACACAGGCAACAAGCCAAATGTATCGATGCTACGTACCTTCGGGTGCAATGCAACCCTCCATATCCATCGCGACCTCCGACGCAAACTTGACGATCGCTCTAAACCCGGCATCCACCTTGGATTAGCTCGGGGCAAGAAGGCATTTCTTATTTGGGATCCAAAGGCTCGAAAGTTGCACGAGTCGAGAGATGTCCATTTCTTCGAGAGCGACGAGGAGAACTCGGAACGCGTAACGATCGAGGTCGAGTCTCACAACTCCCCGACACACGTAATCGTTCCAGCGGATGAAGATGGAGAGTCGGGAGAAAGAGATGATGATGATGGAGGAGATCTAGAAGAAGGAGAGGAAGATAATGGAGGGACGTCGGAAGTAGGAGAAGCAGAGAATGAAAACTCACCCCCGCTCCAACTTGAACCTGTAGTCCAGGACTCCCTACCCCGCCGCTCAACCAGAATCCGCCACGCGCCCATTCCAGACGACGACCCCCGATATGAGAGATCTTCTTATAATCGGACTCAACCTTCCACTGATTCAGTGAATGTCGCTTGGGCAATGACGGCGAGCATCAAAATACCACGAACGTACAGCGAGGCGATGGATCGTCCTGACGCGGACTCATGGTTAGGGGCGTGTACCGACGAATTAAATGCGCTAAAGGAAACAGGTACTTACCTTCCTGTGCGCAGAGACGAAGTCGATCCCCACAACGTCGTCGGGAGTAAGTGGGTGTTTGCTTTGAAGAAAGGGGCCGATGGTGAAATAGAGCGGTATAAGGCGAGAATAGTGGCGAAGGGATTTAGCCAAATCTACGCGGTAGACTATGAGGAGACGTTCGCACCTGTGGTCAAATGGTCGTCGATCCGAATCCTCCTCGCGTTAGGTGCCCGTCTCGATCTTGAAATACATCAAATGGATGTGAAGACCGCGTTCCTCAACGGGGAATTGGAGCATGAGATTTTTATGCAGCCGCCTCCTGGCTCAGCAGACTATGGGAGGAGAGACATCGTATGGAAATTGGAGAAGAGTCTGTACGGCCTTAAACAGGCCTCTCGAGCGTGGTACAAGAAAGCCAAAGTCGAACTGAACAAACTCGGCTTCTCCCGCTCGAATTCAGATCACGCCGTTTTCATTCTTTCCCAACGCGCTCATTTTTGCATCGTCGCTCTTTATGTCGATGACTTAATGATCCTTTCCAACCACCTTCCCCTTCTTCGAAAGAAGAAGAAGCAGCTAATGTCCACATTTAAGATGAAGGACTTGGGGGAAATTCATTGGTTCCTTGGACTGGAAATCACGCGCGAGCGCCAAAGGCGCTTAATTTTTGTCTCTCAATCTCGCTACATATCCGAGGTTGTCGATCGCTTTGGATTTAGCACCTCTCGTACAGTCTCGACTCCTATGATGCCGAATCTCAAACTCACTCGCCACGAAAGCTCTGACCCTGACATCAACGCTCGCGAATACCAATCCCGAATTGGTTCGGTAATGTACGCGATGCTAGGAACTCGACCAGACATCAGCTTCGCCATCACCATACTCAGCCAATATTCTTCCAATCCAGGAGAAGGGCATTGGGCCGCTATCAATCGTCTACTACGCTACCTCAATGCTACGAAACATTTCAAATTGGTCTACGACGGTAATTCGAAGTCTAGCGACAAGACTGGCTATTCCGATTCGGATTGGGCTGGAGATCCGAGAGATTCTCGATCTATTTCTGGATTCGTTTTTACCATGGCCGGAGCAGCGGTAAGCTGGAGTTCAAAGAAACAGACGTCGGTGGCGCTCTCGAGTACCGAAGGCGAGTATATGGCTGTTACCCATGCAACTAAAGAAGCGCTCTGGATTCAACAGTTTCTACGCGACCTTAACTTCCCTCCTTCCGACCCAACCACCCTCCTTGTCGACAATCAAGGCGCTATCGCGCTTGCCACCAATCCCGCATTTCACGCACGAACGAAACATATTGGCGTCCGACATCACTTTATTCGCGATCAAGTAGAAGATCACACGATTTCTTTACAATACATCCCTACCGATGATCAAGTAGCCGACGTATTGACGAAGGCTCTCGCGTACGCCAAACATTCGAAGTTTAGAACAGCGATGGGACTGTGTGAGTAGCCACATCGAGTGGGTGTGTTGAAATCTTGGTTTTCTTGGGAGTTATAGTGCGCTGTGGCCAACTCACAATGTGATGTTGAGCTAGCGGCGCTATATTTCCTTTCTTGGTATTCCTGCTACCAAAGTCAGTGCGCCATTGAGGCGACTGCTTATAAAAGCAGTGAACAATTTTTCACTTTCGTTTCCCTCAGTTCAACAACGATTGACTGAGGTGAGACTGCGCTTTTACCACACATTTATCTTGTCACTCATGTACCCTCATGTGCCCTAGCGTAAAACGCTAGGTAATTAGTTCCAATCTAATCAGTTCAACAACGATTGACTGAGCGTAAAACGCTAGC